ACGGTAGGACTCAGGAGAACTGTGGGGTGCACTCAGGCTGTTGTGCATATTGTCATAGCTCAGGAAATAGCTGCTAAGATGGAGTTTCTGGGCAATGAGTTCATATTAAGCAAGACAAGAAGGAAAAGGTAACATCAGTGGAGGATTTGGATGTATTCCTAACACATACAGCTATGGACTAACCCTGTTTTGTGTATGAGTATGCTAAATGTATGTATTTTTTAGCCCAAAACATCTAGAACACTGTTACTCAGAGGTACTTACTGGTGGTTTAAAAAGTTTTTTTTAAAAAAAACAAAATACATTTCTCAGCACAGGACAAGTTAAAAGACAAAAACAAACCACACACACATACACAAAACAGGTACCGTGATAGGTAATAGAGGCCGAAATTCAAACGGAATAGTTAAGTCCTGTGGATGTTAATGACTTTAGCAGAGAGCAAGAACATTTAGCTGGACCTTCTGGACTCTGGAGAATGATTTTGGGGAATTCTGTTTTCCTTCATGAAAACTGAATTTTCTTTTTAAGAATTTAAGTATTTTATACCCTCTAACACCATGTTTGGCTTAACAGAGCTAGGAGACAGGTGCAGTAGAGTAATGAAAGGAAAGTGTAAACTGAGGCTAACACATCTATTTTCCATGCCTTGCAGCATATAGCATTTATGTGTAGTTCTCTGACTTAAACAGCAGATGGTACCACGCACCAGTGTTTGACTGGCCCTCAGTGTATGAGCAATAAACAAAACTAAGTCCTCAGGAGAACCGGAAGGAAAAACCTTGCATTGACATGAATGATGTAGCATACACTGTACATAAGTGTTGGACATCATCATCGAGCTCCTGAATACATGTTCTTTTCTCTCTGTTATTATTTCAAGGATATGGAGGTCAAAATAGATGGGAATACTGTATTCCTTTCCCTATAGATGGATAAAAACAAGTTTGAGTACTTTAACTGGCTGTGGTGGGATATTTTATATTTTATAACACCTGAATCTTTACATGTCTAAAGAAACGTCTTTTTTGGGGTATTGGATGAAACTGACCTGCAGATTGTCTAGCCCCGAGGTAATTGGGAGGCTGATGATAGAGAGGCACTGGGCTTGAGCCAGACCCATGCACAAGGTCCTCAGGTCGCTCCAGCCATGAAAAACCCCACTCAATAGTCACAACTTGTTAGGGATGTGGAGTATCACACTCCGTACTATGCTGTGAAAGTAATTCTTGTATATGCGTGTATCTTGCATACTCATGTAATATGCGTGTTGGTTACTTTTTCCCACTTGCCTTTTGTCTTATAATTTTCCCTGTCATAGTTTTACAATATGGGAGTTTAAAACTTTTATGTGATCAAATTACCAAATTCTTTATCTGTCAGGTGTAGAGTTGTATGTGATGCTTAGAAAAGCTTCTTTCACTGTTGGATTACAAAACCATCTTTTTTTCCTAGAACATTAGAGTTTTTTTTTTATTTTGTTTAATCTTGAATTGTACTGTAAAAGAATAAGGTAGAGACCCAGCTTTATGTTTTTCCCATGCTGGAGCACATAGGGATGTGGACGTGTCTCCCTGAGGACGTGTCCCCCTGAGGACACTTTGAGGCCACTGGGATAAGAGTTAGACATACCCAGCCTGGGGAGCAGTCTGAGCTGCATGCAGTTAGGGCGCCAGACTGAGTGTGTTCAAATGCCAGATGCTTCTGTGACCCTTTGGCCCACAATAAAGAATTGAGGTAGAGAATGTAGTTGAGACTTATGGTTGGGCTTGAGTGACCTTTAAAATTTTGATAGAGGAAAGGATCAAAAAATGTTCCAGGCAAAACAGCTTGAGCAGAAATGTGGATATAAGAATAAGTAAAGTGGCTGGCAAGAATGAGCTCATGATTTAGCTTTATATGCACTGATGCATTTAATATTTATACTGACCGTATGGCGGGGTGTAGATACTGTTCTGACTTCATTAGTTTACAGAAAAGGAAACTGCCGCAGGGGGCAGTCAGGTACGGTGTCTAGTGACTCAGAGCTAATTATGAGGCAGGGCTGGGATTTAAACTACCAGAGGAGAGCATTTTGGAGCCTGAGAGAATCTCCACCTTGCCGAAGTGAATATGCTTGATATGCCTTGCTGAGTTCACAGTTACCTGTAGTAAGAAGCAGGGCTTGTCTTCTGGTGATGAAGTAGGATTGAAGACATCTGGCTTCCTCTAGCAGGACTCATCATCATTTTTTAAAACCTTTGTCCTGAGAGACAGTTCATAAGTATACCGCAGAAATTACGCTCTCCTGCAAGTAGAACCAATATTTGCTTTCACTGTGGGAATATATTTCCACTACCTTCTTTGTGGATTTAAAATTTAGTGAACACAACAGATAGGAACTTTTTATCCTAAGAATAGAGAAACCAATCTGGATTAATCTGGATTAATTGAATTAATCAGTTTAATACTTTGCTAGATCATTCAATTAAAAATGTAACTAAAGCACTTGAGCACTATGCCTAGCAGATAATAAATGTTCAATATATGTTGATTTTTTCTTCTTTCTTCAAATTTTATCCTTCTGAAAGTCTATATGGTTTGGGTTCTAAAATAGAAATTCCGTTTAACCCAGCTATTCTTCTAGGTATCTTCCAGAAAGAGTTAAAAGACGTCATATTATGGTGACACACATGTACTCATGTTTATAGCAGTACAACTCATAATAGGTAAAGCTTAGAAGTGGCCCATATGTCTGTCAGTGGATGAATGGATAAAGAAAATGTGGTATTTCTACACAGTGGAGTACTACTGTGCTGTAACAGATGATTTTGAGTCGTTTGTAGGAAAATGGATACACCTTGAGGCCATAGTGTTAAGTGAAATAAATCAGACACACAGCTTAAATATCACAGGATTTCTCTTGAAGAGCAAAATAAAAGATAAATAATAGGAAACAGGGCAGTAGTTCTTTTGCAAATGGGGAGGGGCCAAGTGATGGAAGGGGAAGGAGAGGAGGGTAAGGGGACTTAAAAAGAATTAAGATGTGTTATACACATGTACCAGCTCCCCACAATGAACATAATGTACTAATAAAAATCTATATTTAAAAAAATAAAACAGATACTCTTGTGGAAAGCTTTCAGTAAAGAGTTGATTGTCCATAAGGCGAGTTTGGTTAAAAATAATATAAGATTTTTAAGTGAAAAACTATCTGTAAAATATGTGTTTGAGAAAGTCCTTTATATAAATATTCTTAGAGAAAAATATCCAAGGGATACTAAGTTTAAAAAATGACAAAATATTCAGTACAGGTTGAGTATTCCATCTCCAATATTCTTTGGCCTGGAAATATTTTCAGGTTGCAAGATTTTTCAGATGTTTGAATATTTGCTTATGCAGGTGTCTTGGGGCTGGGACCTAAGTCTAGACATGAAATTTGTTTGTTACATAGAGCCTGAAGGTAATTTATACAATATTTTTAATGATTTTTTTTGGTACCGGGGATTGAACTCAGGACCTTGTGCTTTCGAGGCAGGCGGCAGAACCACTGAGCTAAATCTCCGGCTCTTTTTAATGATTTTGTGCATGAAACCAGGTTTCACGATACATAATTTTCCACTGTGCCATCATATTGGTGCTCAAATGGTTTGGAATTTGGAGTATGTCACATTTTTGGATAAGGCCTACTCATCTTGTATTATGCTACCCATTTGTGTAGAAGAGGAAAAAGTTAATAATATATATTTGTAATGACTTTAATATGCATTTGAAAGTCTGGAAAGGTAAACAAAAGACTAAGAGTGTCTACATACTGGGAGGGAGATAAACTGGGCAAATAGGGTATTGGAAGGTGGTTTTCATTACCTTTTTATACTTTTTCATTGAGTAAATTACCTATTTAAGCAAAGTATGTATTTTTAAAACTTTTATTTAAGTGGTTAAAAGTTTTTAGGAATCATTTTAAATAAAGAAATAAATCATTCTATTTTATTCAGTAGTACTGAACCGTTATGTACAAAAGGCAAGGCATAGTTGTGAACAGAGATGCATTGTAACTCGTTGAAGATAACAAGATGTTTGACCGATAATTGTTCCCATTGTCAGGATTCTGCAGATTATATTCTGCATGGTCTAGTTTTGCATGTTCTTTCCTTTCTTTGTATTTCCTGTGACTTGGTAATTGGATTTAGCAGTCTGACCAGATGCGGGTTACTTTTTGGTTTTGAAGGATGTTTGTTTTTTTCAGCATCCCTTTGTAGGTAGTCCTTACCAGTGTGCACAGTGTTTCGTGATCTCTCTTCTGACTATAGCAGCCATTGTTAATCAAGGTCTCCATTTCAGTATTCTTTACAGAGTAAAAACAACAGGCCTGTGCATACTCTGTGGTTACCATATCATCTTTATTCCTTGACTTCCTATCCGTTAAAAATGTCCTGTGGAGTTTTTTGGGTTTCTTTTTCTTTTCTTTTCTTTTTTTTTTTTTTGTGGTGGTGGGGATTGAATGCAGGGCCTTTGCACTCAGCTACATCCCCAGTCCAGCTCTTTTTAAATGTTTTTATTTTAATACAGGGCCAGGGTCTTGATAAATCACTAAATTGTCCAGGTGAGTCCCCAACTTACAATTCTGCTGCCTCAGCCTCCGGAGTGCTGGGATTATAGGTGTGTGCTACCACACCCACCTTCTGTAAGAACTTTTTATGTATATGCAGTGGTACTTCAGTTGGAGAATTTAATTCTTTCCATGATTGTGGTTGCAAACTGAATTGGATGAGAAGTGAATCGAATTATAAGTGTAATTGGTTTCAGGTGACTTCCCAAAGCCAGGATCAAATGGTTGCAAGATGTTTTCTTTTAAAAATAAATTCATCTCAGGGCTGTGATTTAGCTCAGTGGTTTTGCTGCCTGCTGCACAAGTGCAAGGACTGGAGTTCAATCCCCAGTACCATAAATACATAAATTCATCTCTTGTTTTAAAGGTTTTTCGTAGCCTTGATTATTTGTGCTTTATAATTAATTAGGTTGTTGTTCCGGTGCACTAGAAGTAAGGCAAAGGGGAAACAGTGGTGTGGAAGTGTCCCATGGCAGGTAGGAACTATTCATCTGGTTTTGAATCTGTGTTGAAACTGTGTTTAATACAGCAGTGACTGAAAAGACATTACAGTCCATGTAAACTAGTTGGTCTTCATCAAATTGGATCTGAAAGAATTTCCTTGAAACTATTAATGGGACTACTAATTCAAAGGACCATTTGTTATATTCAGGATTTTATATCTCTTATTTTACTCATTCAGATATTTTCCAGGATATTAAATGTATTCAGTACTCTCCTATTTTTAAAAAATTAGATGCACTTGACTAACTTCTTCATATTTTTATAAATACTTGATATGAATAAGCTAAATATAACTCATAAACCCCTAGAATGTTAAAATGAAGACAGGCTCTACGGATATCCAATACATGGGGAGCTAGACATAAGGAAGTGATAATACTTATCTTGGCAAAGATATGGCTTAGACTTTGGTTCTATATTCCTCCAGTGAAACCATTGTAAAGCCAAAAATCAATGTACGCATAGGAAGACAATGTTTAGGTTTGGGGACAAGTTTGTTTTGAAAGAGTTGTTTTCTTAAAGAGTACAAATTGTAGTTACTGGATTGTAAAAAGCACTTTGGTTTAATCTCTACTTTCCCTCTAGGGTTAGAAAAGTTTGACCATAGAGAGGGAACCAAGCATTGAAAGTTAAGAAGCCACATCTTTGTGAGTTTGACCCCTATTCATTTTTAGGTGGAGATATGATACCAGAAATGTTTAGAAATAGTAAGCTGCTTACATTGTGTTTCCATTCTCTCGATATACAGGTTGCATTATTTTACATTACAGTTAATCATTTTCATTGTCCCTAGGATCCTAATGCTAAAGAACTTCCTGTCACCAATAAAACTCATACCTCTGAGCCATTTCCTCAGCCTTCCAGCCAGCCCAGAAACCCATTCAAGGTGCTTGACAAGAATCAAAAACCAGCTCTTTGCAAACAGTCCATCGAAAGGGAAGGAGGGGGAAAGCCAGCTGATAGGAAGCCAAGGGAAAAGGGAGACCAGCCTTTGGATCAAAAGAAGGTAGAGAAGCCTGAATCAAACTGCTGGATGGAGAAAGATCTCTCATCCAGCCTGGTGATAAAGAAAAAGCAATCTGGCATTCAAAAGAATACGCAAAGGGGAAGGACAGAGTTTCAGTGCAGAGAGGAGGAGGCTGAAGGAATTGCATCCAAACAGTGCAGTGGAAATGAGCTGAGAGGAGCATCTGTGTCTCCTTCTCAGGAGAAGTCAGATGGCGAGAGTCAAGATGTCCAAAACAAATCGGACCCTCTGAGAGAAAAGGAAACCCAGCTTTTGCCTCGAACTGTTCACAATCAGAACCCAGTAAACCAGCCCCAGAAAGAGGGACATCTCAGCAAGGCTCACCTCCAGAACTGCAAGGCTAAGGAATCAGAGGCAAAGGATGGCTCAACTACACAGACCTTCCAGAAAAGGCTGCCTCAGGAGCATTTCCAGGCCCCAGTGGCGGCTTGTGGGCCTGCTCATAAAGGACCAGTGGCATCAGGGCTTTCTCTGGGAGAGGTGGCCTCCAGCAGTGATGACAGTGAGGAAGATGCTGCTGCTTTTGCTTCTATTAAGCCAGAGAGCCCGCTACTCTTTGACTCTTCAGTGGACAGACAAAAGAAGGAGAATCTTCGACTCCCTGATCAAAGTGTGCGAAGGAAAATACTGACGGGCACGGGTATTCCCAGGAAGGTAGAACCCCCCAGCTCAGCAGCCCAGCACAGGCACCTTACCACGCAGCTCAGACACAAGAAGGTAACTCGTGACTTGTGCTTTGTTTCTCAGGCAGAAGCTGACTCACTGTGGGCAGCTTGGAGACCCCTACCGAAGAGCTTGACGTGGCAACCGTGGGAAGGCTTTACAGGTGGATGTTTAAGTCTCCACCTTTTCCTATGTGTATATTTTCAGGGTTTGTAAACCATCTGGGTTTAAAAAAAAGTCCTGGTTTTTACATATAGTAAAAAGACCACAATTTTAGAATTTTGGCATATTAAGCTGTTTTAATCTAAAGCTACCCTCTAACAGCCAGAGAGGAGTGATCCATTTGATAGGACCTGTTTTTCAGAGCACCCTGGCATCGGTGAACATCCAGGCTCTTCCAGATAAAGGTGAGAAGTTATTAAAGCAAATCCAGGAGCTGGAGGAAGTACTTGGTGCCCTGGTCCTCTCCCCAGAGCAAGGTAAATGGGTCGTGCCCCAGAACTGAGGGTTTTCTTGAATCTAACAAGAGACATTTTGATAAAGAATGTGTTAATTCATTCACCTTTCTGTTTTATTATCTGCTTCTGTACTTTCTTTTAAATTATACCTACAATTTATAAAAACTATTTCCTATTTTCTGTGGACTAAAATCCTCATTGCCATGGTATAAATACTGTTAAAATATTGTGTTCTCTAGGAAGCCTTCCCTAGCTTATTGGATTGGCGGTGATCCAGCCCTCTCCTTCCCTCACCTCCTCAAAGACAAGTCCTTCACTTGCTCTTCTCAACTTTAATCTGCTCTTCCCTTGTTTCTTGAGCAGGAACTAATGAGAAGAGTAACACTCAAGCGTCAAAACAGAGCAGCTTCACTGAAGCTGCCATGGACCCTCCCCAATTGGTGCCTGCCCAATCCCTTCCGGGTCATGATCTCCAGCCGCTAGGCTCTCTAGGACTAATGACAGCCTCTCAGGGAACTGCTGGAAGACCCAATCAGTGTTCTGGAGGTAGGACCCAAGGGCCTGGCCCTCCTGGGAGGAGCTACTCCTGTGAGTTAAATGCTAACTAACAGATATCTTTACCCATGAGAAGGGAGAAGCTATTCTAGAATTTAAAGTCGCACATAAATTAAAGGTCATAGTGCTCTGTAGAGCGTTGCATAGTGTTACTTAGATCCTTGTGAGCCCAGAGACTGTTTGCCTTGTGCCATTGTATGCTCACCCATCAGACCAGTGGCTGACATATAGAACTCACCTGTCAGTGCTTGTCAATGAAAACTCTAGCAAATATTATTACCAGGCAGGTAGGCCAGCAGAGAAGTTTTATTCTTTCTCTGTGGAGGAGTAGGTGTGGATGTGTGTGCTGAGGCAGAGCAGAACAGTGACACAATGAAAACCAGTAACTTACAGACACACAGAGAGCAGTAACCCCCTATATAGCTAAGCATTTCCATCACGACTTCCCAGACAGCGTTGAATTCAGAAGTAACTGCAGAATGAAGATCCTAAGTAGGTTAATCATGTCATCTCGTGAGCTGGTTTGCCATTCTGGCGACAGAAGCTCAGGTTTCCTGGCAGGAACTAGAAAAGCTAAAGCTAGTTTTCTCCCAATTGAGAACTGCTAGAGATGTAAAAGGTTGACGAACAGTGTTAAGTGTTAGCAAAGGGGTAGGAAATAGATGTGGAGCCACTTGAAGGTAAGGCTGCTCTAGAAGCAAATGAGAAAACGTATTTTTTCAAGTAGCATAGAAGACGGTTACTCAGGCCCTTTGAGAACATTGCCATGTTACTATATCGTTTCATAACAAAATGGTGACTGAGTCACCTAGAGAACCATTAAATTAAGTTAAATTATTATGGTAAAATATATGTGATATAGCTTGGAAATAATTTCAGTAAGATAGTTTTAAAACATTTTAACATTCAATTCATTTTCATTTGTCTAGAAAACTTTTACTCGGAATGGTTTAGCCCCAAAATTGCAGTCAAGGTGCCTGTTGTTATTAACTTCATGTAAAAGTTGTCTGTGTAGAATATGGGCTTACAGTACTGCAGTATAATATATGTCCGCTTAGGACCTGACACTGGGGGCCTCTCTCCCTACAGACTCGGACTTCAGCAGATGACTTCTACCATGGCCTTTTTGGTTACTGGCTTCTTTGCACCCAGTGATCATTTCTTCCTAAAATACTGGATGGTGTTACCTTTTTCTTTCCCATCTTTTCAAAGCTGGAAAATAAACTATCAAAAATATCAGGAGTTGGGCTGGGGGTGTAGCTCAAAGCACTCGCCTTGCATGTGTGAAGCCCTGAGTTCTATCTCCAGCACTGCAAAGATACAAAAGAAATAAAAGGAAGGGAGGGAGGGAGGGAGTAGGGAAAGAAAGAGAGAAAGATGGATTATCATATTTTTTTCAGTATACTTTCTATTTTATCCAATATTATAATTATTGTTTATGTGTTTAAAAACACAGAGAATGAGAATAGAGAAGTCTGTGAGGCCACATGAGCCTGGGGACAAGAATTTTTAGTCACTAAAGATCCACCAGTTGACAACTAATTGCTGCTTTACAGCTGTAGCCGAGCCATAGTACCTGTGCCCTCTTTGGGTAACACCTATTTATATGCAGGCCATAGGAAGCAAGATCGCTATTATGCAGTGTGGAAAGTCACAAGTGAAGCCATTGATGAGCTGCATCGATCACTGGAGTCGTGTCCTGGTGAGGCAGGAGTGGCAGAAGATCCAGCTGGCTTGAAGGTGAGCGAGGGAAGAGTCACAGTACAGACTATCCCAAAGCAGTGTCCTGGGGTCTAAGAAGAGAAAGACTACTGTGAAACAAAGTTATAAAGTTGTAAATTCCTATGGTATAAAAGGATACATTTTTTAAGTTTTGGTAGGTGCCACAAGGTGCCAAAGAATCTATTCCTAATGAACTAGTTAGCATGAAAGTACATACAAGACATCTATAAAACAATTAAAAGTGCCTAAGGCAGAGAAAGTGCGCCTTGTATGATAGCTATATACATAGTACAAAAGGGATTCAAAATAAAGGAAACGTCACTCTAGGTCAATACTTACTTTCTGCCTACTTTGTGCCTTAAAGAAACTGTAAGTCTTTAGTAGAGAGAAAGACATAAAACATTGCAATTGAGGGAGTGGGAGTCAGAGAGGAGCTTGGTACTGATGACTGATGGTAAGATGTCATCAGTCCCCAAGCTAGGAGGAGCAGGTTGAGTAGGGGGACTTCCTTGCTGTGGAGCCTGGCATTGCTAAAGGAACTTAGACTTGAATAGCTCTAGATATATTATGGAATCACCATAGAATTTTGAGCAGGGATCTTTTTTTTTTCTTTTTCTTTTTGGTACTGGGGATCGAACTCAGGTCCTTGTGCTTGTGCAGAAGGCGGCAAAACCACTGAGCTAAAGCCCCGGCCCAAGCAGGGACTTTTTATGAAGTGTAAGTACAGAGTGTAAGTTAAACGGGAGTACACAGGGTTAAGAAGGGACCTCCAGTTTGGGCAATTGAAATCTGACTAGCAACACAGACTGGGATGTCGATTAATGAGAGGAGAGTCAAATTTAAGAGATAATTGGGAAGAGCCAACAACAAGGCTAGTGAAAGTAGAGTGAGTAGTCAGAAGTCTTGGTTGCAAGAGGTAGAAGCTGACTTCAGCTTTTTTTTTTTTTTTTTTTCTTTTTTTACTGCTTTCACTAAGAAGACAAACTAGGACTCACTCTTACTGGTGGGGTGAGCCTCCTAATAGAAATGATGAACATTAGACATAAACCACAACTACAAGTTGGGGGCATCAGTGAAATGAATAACTTGTAAAGGCAACTAGAATATTAGAGCAATTGCTTATAGAAAATAAGAGTCTAGAGTCTATGTAGCCAGCATCTGTTCTACCTTCTCATTAGGAATTTATCCTTAACATTTGGTTATTACCTTTGTCAGGTCCCTTTGCTACTGCACCAGAAGCAGGCATTAGCCTGGTTACTATGGCGGGAAAGCCAGAAGCCAAAGGGAGGGATTCTGGGTAAGTTTGGTATTATGGTAGGAGCATTCAGTAATTCTTGGCACTGTGCTAAATGTATTGTGTTTTATTCAGTCCTTTCCTCACTCTGTAAGGCAGGTGCTATGATTCTGCATTTTACAGATAAGAAAACAACTGTAGAAATGTTAAGCAACTTGCACAAAAGTATACAGCTGGAGCAAAAGAGATGACTGACTGATTGAGTAGTTTATTCTATAGTGTCCCCCAGAAACTGGAAGAAGTGGAAATCCAGGCTGCAGTCCAAATTTCCAGGAGAATTGGCCATAGCCATGTTACAAACTGATCATGACTTCTTTGCTATAAGCACTGCAGAAAACCAGTGCTACCCCCGGGTTCAGTAATATGTTTGTAGGATGCAGCATGCTAATGGTGTGATTTATTCCAGTGTAAGGATACCGATTAAAATCAAGAAAAGGAAGAGGCACATGGGACAAAATATGGGGGAAACCTGATGCATGTTTTGGATGTTAACTGAGGACAGGTCACAGGGGCAGCTTCAGCCTGGCAGGTTCCAAAATTTCAGATACTCAGAAAGAAAGTGTTCGACTTATATGATAGTGACTGTACAAATCGTTTAGGCAGAGTGAGCCACTCATCAGCTGTTGACGCGGTGAGGGCTCTGCCTGAATTTGAGTTCCCAGGCAGCTGCCAAGGGCCACCCTTGCAGGCAAGTGTTTGAAAGGTCAGCTGAGAGGCCTGCTCTGTTGACTTTTTCAGCACATTAGCAGTGCCAGGGATGAGTCCTATCCCATGCTGTTTTTTTCTCCTACTCTGTCAGAACGATTGTTTCAAGTAAATGCAGCAGCCTGAGGTCTGAGCCTGATAAAATTAGGAAGCAGTACTGTGTAGGGTATGGAGAGTATGTTAGGTGAGGTCCCTGACTGTACAGTGATGGTACCTAAGAAGTATTAAGTTGCAGCCTTTTTTGATGAAGAAAGTATGGGCATGGCGGGCTGTTTGGAGTCATGTAGTAGCACCAGTAAGCTAAGGTGGTGGGATGTGTCTGCTGGACTTGTTTGCTTCTGGAGGTAACAGATAAAAAGTCTAGGGAACATTGTCAAACTAGAATTCAGCACAATGTCAGATGTGGGATAGCAGTGTAGTGTGGAGACTAGAATAAGATCCAAATTATAAGCACTAAATGTTACAAGAGTCAGTAAATGTCTGGCTTAGATTTCCAAATAAATAGCAGAAGGTAGGGTTCATTTTAACAAGGAAGATAGAGAATCCATTAAGGGAGGCAAAAATAGTGACATGAATGACACTGGCAGCAAAGAGAACAGGGACAGTTGTGCCAATTCTTTGCCCCCAAGAAATTGGTTCCTTAATTGTGCTTTTATTTTCTAGCCGACGATATGGGCTTAGGAAAAACCCTGACAATGATTGCACTCATCCTGACCCAGAAGAATCGAGAGAAAAACAAAGAAAAAGTCAAGGTGGCTTTGACATGGATTTCCAAAAACGGTAGAGCAAAGTGCTGAATGCCATTTCCTGAATGCTTTGAGCCAGCTGAGAGGGAACATTTTTAAGCTGCAAAAGGACACCTTTGGATTTATTTAATTAATCTCCTAGAAAATCAGTATTTGACTGTTTTCCTGTGGTATCACTTCTGATGCTGAGTATGCAGAGTAAAAGTAATCAGTTTTTCCCTTTTAATATAAATGTAGCTTCATCTGTGATTAGAAAAGAATGACAGAGAAAGCTAAAGCTATAGAAGACTTACTTTAAGTATACTAATTATTATTTTTGTTGATATTGAGAATAAACTCCAGGGCAGGTCCAAATTAACATAGGATCTTTGTAAGAGAGATCTGTCATGAATTCACATTTTAGCATCTGTACTGGGAACTTGTTTTCCATGTTTCTGAAATTCCAGATATTTCTAGATGATAGACAGTTTCCATCTTATCTCAAGCTATATAGTTAAAATGTAATTACTTTACACTTACTTAATGATCCTATATACTATGTGTAGATACCACCATGTGAAAGTTGCCATGTGCATTTCCTGTCAGTTGGATGATAGTTTGGGGCCCTCTGGTCTCAGGGCTGTGATGACTACAGCTACGTGAGTCAGTGCAGGGTAGCAGGACACACAGATGAGGCGCGAGGGTACCGGTATTCTGTCACTAGACGCTTCCAACATGGTGACTGCTTATTTTATAAGAGGGTTTATGTGTGTGTTTTAATTGATACATAAAAATTTGTACTTAATATTCTAATGCAGAAGTACATTAAGTGATACTTTTCAGGAAAAAGTATTACTGCCCTATTATGAATCAACTCAGGAAGCATCAGGAAATGATCCAGTTTCTACCCTAGCCACTCTGAAAGAGCATTGCTTTTTCAGACTAAGGTCACACGCTGCCTCCTTTCTTTAGTCTCTCCTTCTGTCTGACCAGCTGGCTGATTGATTGATTGATGCTGGGGATTGAACCCAGGGCCTCAGCATTGACCTATGTCCCCAGCCCTTTTTACTTTGAGACAGAATATTGGTATGTTGCTAAATTGTCCAGGTGAGGATCGAACTTGTGATCCTCCTGCTTCAGCCTCCCGGGGTTCTGGAATGACAAGCAAATTACCACCAAGCCTGGCTTCTAACACTCTTAAAGGAAAAGATAAATAATTATGTAATTTGGTTTATAAGACCGTCTCTTTCGTTTCTTAGTCTGCCATCAGCTTTATGTAGAAATAAGAGCAACATTTAAAAAATATTGATTTGAAGAAGTAAAACCAGTCAAGAGAAAGAGGTAATGTCCTAAAGAAGTTAAAGGCTGTTTAATGAATGTAACTAGATATTGATTTATTTTTCCCCTCCAGACTCCTCTGTTGTTACTTCCCATGGAACACTAATTGTCTGTCCTGCTTCCCTGATCCATCATTGGAAAAATGAGGTAGAGAAACGTGTGAACAGCAACAAACTAAGACTCTGTCTCTATCATGGGCCAAACCGGAATCGGCATGCAAAAGTGTAAGTGCACAAGGGCTGGTCTTGGAGGTGTCCAGGCCTGGGCTCAGGAGCCCTGTTCATGTCCCACTTACCGATTCTTCATTTAATCTGGACCAGTGGTGTGTGTGAAGAGCAGAAACAGATTTTCATTCTCATCACCAAACAGCCTTTTTTTTTACTAAGAGATACATCGTGAGATCAAATGGTACTCTTTTGCTGTGTCCTTATTGTCCTCTACAAGAGCTGCCATATGAGAAGCCTGAGATCCCTGAGTTGTCAGCCAGGTGGCAGCAGCATTCCCCGGCAAGCAAGGCTACACCACAGTGTCTTGGTTGCCAAAGTTCTGATTCTAGAACGCACACTCCTTTTCTGTTAGTGTGAGTGGAACCATCCCATCCCAGTCTTAAACACTTTTATCTTGATAAAATTCTAATCTTACTTGCTACAGACTTGATAGATAAGTGGATAATGTGTGTATATGTGTAAGGATATACATACGTGTGTACCCACATTTTTATAACTTTATTTATTTTTTAGATTTTAGTTTTTATTTATTGTTAATTGGAGTTGATTTGTATTCTCTTTTTTTAAATTTTATTTTATTTTTTATTTTTTTTGTATATCTTTTTATTGGTACATTTTAGGTATACAATATAATGACATTCATCATTGGAGATATGCACCTTAACATACTCACTTGGCTCTTATTTTTTCCCCCTTCCCCTGCCCTCCCTTCAACCCCTCCATTCCTCCCTATTTACAAAGACTTTGTTTCCATTTTTCCTTTTCTCATATTAATTCCATTCCCATCTTTCCTTTCCCATACCCCTCCCACTTCCCCCTCCCCTCTGACCCTTTTCTTCCTGTTTCACATTATCTACTACACCTTTTAGTCCTTCTTTACACTTTCAGTTTCTCACACTAGAGAAACTATTCGGTATTTACACATGTGTGTCCTATTTATTTCACTTAAGATTATCACCTCAATGTGCATCCATTTAGCAATAAATGTCTCTAATTTCTCATTTTTGATGGCTGAGTAGTACTCTATTTTAATAAAAAAAAAAACCCCACAGTTTCTTGATCCAGTCTCCAGTTGATGGGCATAAATACCATCTAAGAAGTTATAGACTTAAGAATTTACGGTGATTTGTGGTTGGAGGTTTAGCTCAGTGGTAGAATGTTTGTCTAGCATGCATGAGGGTCTGGGTTTGACCCCCAGCTCCAAAATGAGAGAGTGGAGGAGGAGAGAGAAATATTAGACCTAATTGTAAATTTCTGACGAGGGATGCTCAGGAAGGAGAAAAGATTATAGCAGATCTTAGTCCTACTCTGTGTCTTTTTTTTTTTTGATGCTAGGGATTGCACTGAGGTTCTGGTGCACGCTAAGCAAGTGGTTTACCACTGAGCTACACCCCTAGCCCTGTGTTCTGCTTTTAAAGGAATTGCTTTACGTTCGTAATTGTGATGTGACTATCTGAAGTGAATATTTTAGTGTTCTAATCAAGGATAAGAACGTTTTTTCTATCTGTAAATAATCTCTCTCCCTAACCTTTGATATTAAAGATAATCTCACAAAGAACAGGGCAGCAATCTTTCAAGAAAAATTTGCTAGATTGATGACCCTCAGTCTTATACCACAACAGCTCTTATAACTAATAGTCATTTCAGCAGGCAAAAGGAATGAGGGCAGCAATGACAGGCCTGCAGACTTTCCCTGGCAGAGAGTACTTTGAGTTGTCTTTTTTCTAAATTTTTTTTAGAAGTAAATTGGATCTCACTTGATTTATACTTTGAAGATAACTGGTTTGATATTCAGAATGTACTAGCTGATTGGTTGGAATCATTCTCAGTTATACTTTAAATATCATATTAAGTTAAGTTATAAACATTCTGTGAATTAGGCATGTCATGTTTATCAAAAGTTTTTACTGACAGTTTCTCGGGTGCACTATATTAAGCTTCTTTGAAATAATACTGTACCATCAGTAAGGATCTTTGCATGGAAAGAGGGCAGGCAAGGTAAACTGAAAGCTTACAGCATGTATTTTTATACCAATGGCTAAATTAATGGGTTTACACAAGTCCATTTTAGTGGGGAGAAAGCATCCCTGATGTGAGGTGAGCAGTGCTTTGAGGATTTCTTTCTTTGAGATTTTAGCAGTATTCATCTCAAATCACTGTTAAATGTCAGCTCCCAACCCTGTCTTACTCTCTGCTCTGGCCAGGTTATATCAAGTTAAATATGACCCCAGCCTTCCTTTCTGGCTCATTGGAGGGGAAGAGGGAGGCTGTTCTAGCTATAGTGAGCAGACTGTAAGAATGATCAGAGGTAAGAGATACAGAAGCCCAGTGGTAAAGTTTACCTCCCTAAAAGCCTGTGTGTGTGTGTGTGTGTGTGTGTGTATGTGTGTGTGTGTGTGCGTCTGTGCAAGACATAACTTAATCAATTCTGCTTTCTCTTCTTCCAGCCAAGTGGGTAAAATTTGCCTCTAAAATTCTCTGTTTTTGTGTGTTTTAAGGACCTAAGTTAATCAATCTTGTTATCTATCTAACCAGCCCTGGCCTATTTTATAAAGATATCAACTGTCTCTCATCAGAGTACAAGGAGGGATTGTTCACCGTGTTCTTTGTGTTGTGTCTGTGCAGCCTCTCTACATATGACATCGTGATTACTACTTACAGCCTTCTGGCCAAGGAGATTCCCACAAAGAAGCAGGAGGAAGAGGTCCTAGGTGCAGACCTGGGTGTGGAGGTGAGGCTTGGAGTGTAGGGAGACAGAATTGGAGCCACACATCGTTTAACAGGCGTCTTTTGACAGCCTCAGTAAGAGCAAAGGTACCTTCTTAGAAGGTCAGGAATATTCTCAGTGGTCTTCCTGTGGACGTTCTTTAGTTATTTCCTCTGTTTCATCTCTCTCACCCTGCACAGCCACCTCAGAGGTGAAGGTTGATACTTGGTACAGTATTCAGCTGTCTTTTAGGACTAAAGTTGCTACACCCAGTTGTGATAGTAATAATCACATGAATATAAGAAAACTTCACTTGTTGCTATTTTTATCTTAAGAGTATGTGGAGTATATTCTCATGTTATTTTGTATATTAAGTGTGCAAACCAATATTTTAGCACTTATTTTGTTATTAAGCCATCATTCCTTGCCTCCTCTCTACTTCCCAGATAAAAATCATTGCGAATACAGTAAGTCCCCAACTTACAAACATTGAGTTGCAAATTTTCACAGGTGTACTGTGTAAGACTCACTTTATTGGATTATGAATGAATCCAATTTATGAATGTAATAGGATGATAGGTAGGCCTGAGGCTAACTAGTGTCCATGAAAAACCCTGAGTGTTTGTGGGGAGATCCATGATGTAAAGACTTTATTGGATAATTATTGTGGGGATTACTCCCACTGCTAAGAAAATACAGTATTATTCTGAGAACTTAGCTTGTATATATGTTTTTATTTTTAGTACAATAGTATATTCACAGATTTCTTTATTGGGGAGAGCTCTAGAATCTGGTCTCTAGTTCATGATCAACGCTGACTTCTGATAAATGATGAACTCAGATTCCTTGGTAGTTGTCCATTGCTTCAGGATAAACTTCAAATTCCTTTATATGATATGTTAGGTGCCTTATAATCCTGCTTGACCTGTGTGTCCTTCATCTCTCATCACCCTTTTCCCTCCCCATGACACCTCATGCTCTGTCATACCGAGGGACGTCTAGTCCCTGCCATGCTCTGTCACACATTTTGCCTTCTCTTGCTGCACGCAATGTTTTGCTGCCACTCATTTTTCCAGATTACCCTTTTTTTTAGTCTGCTTCAAGAATCCTTTCTGGACCACTCCTTTCCCACCTTTTGGTTGAATGACTCTTCCAACACCTTGTACTTATTTATTCACAGCAACCCATTTATTCAGCAGATATGGCGCTCTCCTGTATGTCAGGTGGTATCTCAGGTATCATGGATGCCACAGTGAAAAGAGCAGGTAGAGTCCCTCTGACATAAGTTATCTAGTGTGACTTACTGTATACACATCATGTTGCAATTATGTTTTTCTCCCCTGCTAGACTTTGAGCTCCTTGAGGGTAAGGACTGTCCTTTAGCTCTGGCTTATTACCTTAGAAGTAGACTTCTAGTAAATTTTTAGTAAATTTAATAAGTATTTCCTTGAGGAAGTGAATTTGCAGCCTTATAGCCATTGCTGAAATGTGGTTTGAAAGAATAAATGAAACCTCAAATCAGAAAACATTTTACTTTTCATTATCTTAAGCTTAAGGACTGAGACTCTCAAGTAACCTGTTTATTGGAACCAGTTGAGAGGTTTTGCTCTTGGTTTTTCAACTCCATTCAGTGTAATTGATCTAAGCAAATTGGAGGGTAAGAGTGGGTCCTTAGTATTTGTTTGTTATCTTGTTTATCTCCTTGAAGATATGTACATATTCCCATACTGTTTTTGGATTTCCCTTGTTTTCTTCTAGGGCTTCTCAACACCTTTGCTCCAAATAGTCTGGGCTCGAGTCATACTGGATGAAGCTCACAATGTGAAGAACCCCCGAGTGCAGACGTCCATGGCCGTATGCAAGCTGCAAGCCCATGCCCGCTGGGCTGTCACTGGAACCCCCATTCAGAACAATCTGTTGGATATGTATTCACTACTGAAGTGAGTAAGCTCCTTGTGATTGTGTAACTGAACCCTGTCCATAACCCTTCATTATTGCTTGTCTCATTGTAAAGCTCTGATGTGTGCCAGATTTTGTGTAGCAGATGGCAAGCCTGTCAACCTTTAAAGGGCAAAAGAATTAATATTTATGAGAAAATATCTGTTGATTGATGACGTTGATTACATCCAGCCTCTAGTTATGCAAAAATGTAGGACAGATTGAATTAAAGGAAGCGAAAGTCATCTTTCTTTCGTCCGGTGAAAGTTTTGGGCTATTTCTTTGTTAAAACATCTGGGCTAGGGTCAGGAATACAATTTATTTGAGGCAAACAAAAAAGAACGTTGATTTTTAAATATTTGCTTTTATTCAAAGTCAGCCCATAAAAGGATATGGAATGTCTTTGCCAGCCTTTGAAGCTTCTGGAATAAATCCTAACTGTGGTTCTATGTCCTGTTGTGACAATGTAGACATTGTTAATGGGAAAAGTCACATTTTAAAAATGTGGTTTCCATTATTGACGTGGAGCCTTTTGATCTGTCATGCAGAGATTTGCTGTGAAATTCACTTTTTAAAATGATTGGATGACAAATGTAACAGAAAATCTCCTTTATTTTCATCTTATGTCTTACTTTGAACCTTTATTCCATTCTCCCATATTTCTTCTCCTCTACTCTGTGTCCTTCCCAACAAAAAAGATTCCTCCGCTGTTCTCCATTCGATGAGTTCAATCTGTGGAAAAGTCAGGTTGACAATGGTTCAAAGAAAGGAGGAGAGCGGTTAAGTATTTTAACCAAGAGCCTTTTGCTGAGGAGAACAAAAGACCAACTGGACTCCACTGGCAAACCCTTGGTAATCAGATTCACACCTGTCCCGGGAGGGTGGGCAGGGAAGACCAGGTCCCTTTAGGACTGCCCGGCCCTCTGCTCTGTGCCTCCTGAGCCTCTGAGCTTCCCGTTTCCTGTGGAGAGGCCCCGAGTTTCGGTCCTGTTCCCCATGTTACAGTCTTGTTGTGCTGTGCGTTAGCACAGTATTATTTTTAGGAAGAGTAAAAGTTGTTTTTGAGGAGTTCACTACATCTGGGGAATTTGCTCTGTGGTACCCAGCTCATTTTCACACCAGCTTTCTTTGTCCTTATTCTTCCAGGTGATGTTGCCCCAGCGTAAATGTGAGCTGCATCATTTAAAGCTTTCTGAAGATGAAGAGACTGTGTACAATGTCTTTTTCACAAGGTCACGGTGCGTGCAATAAAGCAGCACCTTCTCCCATGCATTGCTACTGTATTCCTCCCTTTGCTTGGGACTGACTCAAGGGTCAGATTTCCTTAACCTGTATTTGAGCTGTCAGGCAGCCTCTCACCGGAACCTTAAAAAGCTGCCTTGTTATTCTTCCCTTGAATTCTAGATGAGCTTTCTCCCACTTGGAACCTCTCATTTCCAATGTAAATATGTCTTTTGTTTGCTTTTATACTTTATGTTTATTTGTTGATTTTAAAGAACAGTTTGGTTTTATAATTATTTCTTTTGCATTACCTTTGGCCAGTGCTTGCTATGAGCTTGGCGCCATTGAAGAAATCCACTTCTGCAGTCTGCCCAGGTGCTATTGCAAGCACAGTTAGACAGTAACCATGGTAAACCTGTTTGGCCTTGTGACAATTACATGCGCATTTTCTCTCTTGATCTGAGGCAGATCTGCTCTGCAGTCCTATCTAAAAAGACATGAAATTGGAGGAAACCAATCCGGAAGAAGCCCTGATAATCCATTCATTAGCGGTAAGCCAGGCACACTCCTAAGTGCACATCACTAATGAAAATGGGGATTTGCATTCAGGAAAATGGCAGAAAGGGAGGGTTATGAATCACAGATATAAGGTGTTCAGCTTTAGCTAAGAACCTCAAGCAGAATAAAATAAAGACGAGACCTGGTGATCTAAACTTCTTTTTAATTGTTTTCTCAATCTACTTTTAAAAATACATGCAGGTCTATAAAGAAAACCAGTATTTCATTTGGCTCAGTTGTAGAAGTAAATTGTAAATTATTAAATTATTGAAATTATTGAATCTCAAACAAGTTTAAAATAGCTTCATTTAGTTTGCGATTTCCCCCCAGATTTCTGTATGTTAAATCCTATGCTATTCTCTGGGATTTATCTTCTTTCTTGGAAGTGGCCCAGGAGTTTGGGTCCAGTGAGCCTGGGTGCCTTGTGGCAGCAGACTGGCAGAAATCCAGCACCGTCCACATCCTGTCCCAGCTGCTGAGACTCCGCCAGTGTTGCTGTCATCTTTCTTTACTGAAGTCGGTAAGGAGCAGCCATAACGTGGCGCCATAATTTCCGTTTCTTGCAGTTGAGGTCCAGTCTGCTGGACAATGGGAAATGGTTTTTAGGGGTTTTTAGTTTTCTCTTGCTTTTTGGTGGGGTGAGCAAGAAAGAGCTTATTTATTCATTTTTTTTTGGTACCGGGGATCAAACTCTGGTCCTTACACTTGTGCAGCAGGCAGTGAAACCACTGAGCTAAATCCCCAGCCCAAGGAGCTTATTTATTTCACTTTATTTTACATTACTCTCCCTTAATCTTGATGATTTCCATGGCATTGGGAGGAATGTTCTTTAACTTTGTTTTAGAATGAGAAATGACATTTTGATTTAAAAAAAAACACTTGGGGATGTTTTGATATGTCACAATGTAGTAAGGCTAATTTAGTTATAGTTGTCTGGTATTGAGGCTTTTAGATGGAGATATGAAAACTCAAGTAGTTGTACAGATTTACATTGGATAGAGGCATGTCCAAAATTAAGAGCCATGTATTATTTATTTCAGGAGCTGTAGTAATGTATTTTGACTATCAGTAGCTTAATTAACTGAATTGTCCTATCAGGGAAAAAAAATAGAATGATCATGTAATCTGTCTGGCAAATCTTTTTAAAATTGTCATGTGGTTTATCTTTATGATAATGAAACAACTTGCAAGATCACACTTTAAGCAGAATTTTTCTGAGGAGTGAGTTACTGGGGAAAAATTCCAAGACATTTTGCTCTGTCAAGTGTTGGACAATGGCAACCTCAATAACAAGTACTAAGGGTTGGTGCTGTGACTGCCCAACCACCCCTGTCCCTTTTCTTTGTTCCCCAGGCCTTGGATCCGGCAGAATTGAAGAGTGAAGGCCTTTCCCTTTCCCTGGAAGAGCAGCTCAGCGCTCTGACCTTGTCTGAAGTCCACGACACAGAGCCATCTGCCACTGTTTCCCTTAATGGCACACACTTCAAGGTGGAGCTCTTTGAAGACACACAAAGCAGCACCAAGGTACTTCTGTCCCTCTGCTCAAGTAGAGAGCTTGGGTTCTCGAACATTTCCCTGTGGTGGAGTCACTCATTTGTCCCCGTGAGTACAGCCTTGATGGCAGTGCTGGAACTCTTAGATTGTAGTGGATCAGATTCTCCCTCTAGGCTTAAAGGCTCGATTTGTGTCACAAGGAGTAGGAAAAACTTATTACATAATAGTCTTTCGGCACGTGATTTGGGACAATTCCGCCAGCAAGGCAGCCTTTCTGTTACAGGTTACTAGGGAAGGAGGCTGCCAGGTTTACACTAGCTGTGGGGCCTAAGCAGACGAGCAATTTGTTGAGGGAAAGCTTGAAAGGAAAACCACAAAGGCTGAACCCTAGAGACTGTGTAATACACTTGAGTGCCAGTTGTTTCTCCATGTTGAAAGGCTTCATCTGTGAGTATCATTTCCTGTGTAGCCTTCTATCTTCTTTAGTCCTTCTGTTCTATTTTCATCAAAGCTTTCTAAGGCTGGAGAGTTCTATTAGAGGAAGCAGAGCTAAACGGTAACTTGAGACCCGCCTTTCCCTTGGCTTGGAATGTGCTCCATTATCCTGCATGCCCTGAAAGTAGGGCTTGTTTCTCTCTGTTAGATTCTTAAGCTGCCAGTCCTAGCCTCAATCTCTTTTTTTCGAAGGCTTTTTAAAAAAATGTAAACTAGAAAGGAGGTCACTGCCAAGGAAATGGAATTGTTTAAAGAAAGAAATGCTTCCTCTTAATTAAAATTTTGAAACATTTACCTAGGTCTTTCCCACAAATAGCTGAGGAAAATATAAGAAAAGCCCTATCTCTGGACAGAGTTCATGTTCTAGACCCTTCAGTTAGCTATTATGTTGAAACTTTCATTCCTAAGACCTTGTGTTCTTTATGTAACACTTAAGGCAATATTTATTCACAAGGCTTCTTAACGTTAATAGTCATAATAGTTCATTCTTAACTATTAATAGCCCATTAATAGTCAACCATGTAAAGTTGCTTCCTGTGGGGAAGGAATATGGAATTTGACCCCCGATAATGGACCATGAATCTAGCCCTCCCACCTCAGATTTCTTAAAATCCCTTTTGCCGGCTTTCTCATGTGGGAATCATGGCGCCTTCTACACCCTCAAGTGACCAGGACATCAGGCACTTCAGTGTCTGTTTCATCCGCTTTTCTCCTGTTCAGCCCAAGGCACTGTCCTTGCCCTGTAGACGTCAGCATGTTTGTTAAGACTGGAAACCAACTGGATGTGCTGGAGCCCTGTAGGTTACCCCTGTAATAACAGCAGTCTGGAAGGTGTGAGCCTGGTGCATCTCAGAGTTTATCTGGGTCAAGCCCCTCTTTACTGATGAGGAATCTGTGTTCCAAGGTGGAATAGTCATGGGTGGCAGAATAAGAACTATAGCTATTCCCCAATAGATTTCTGGATTAGTTTTCTTCCTCCTCCACCATTCCGGAATATGAGCTTTAGGGCTCATAGATGGTTGAAAGGTCTTTTTTCACTTTAGCAGTTAGAGGAATGAAACCAGCTGCTCCCCAAAGTCATGCCCATGTGTTCTAATGGCTGCTGCCATGTGGACTTGAATGCATTTTCGGTGTAAATACTCAGAGAGTTTGTTTAGAAACTTTCCCAGTTGCTCTTCAGTCTCAACAGGTCCTCTTCAGTGATGTTTGAAGCAGCCCTTAAGTGGGTAAAAACTTTTTACTTCCTTCCGCAAATATTAGGATAGCACTTTATCCCAGCATATACTGGGGCTGGAGTACAGAAATGAACCAGACACGTGCTGCCTTTGACCTCTTGGAATGTCTCAAGCCCCAGAAGCAAGAGATGATACTTAAGCAATTAACATCTCACATGATCAGGATCCTAATAGCAAAAGCAAAAGGCAGTATAGTGGGACATAGGCAGTGGGCACCTAAATTTTACTTTGAGGGCTGGCTAGATCTTACAAAGTGATATTAAGCTGACATGGAAGGTGTTGTAAAGTAAAGGGAACAGAATAGACAGTGATAAAATGGCGTGGGTTACTGGAAGAGGAATTTTGATATAATTACAGTGTGGTCTGAGGAGGGCATGGTGAATAATGAGCTGGGAGGAGTAAGTAGCAGTCTAGGCAGTAAGGATCCAGCTGGTTGTTTTAAGGATCTTGGGCTTTATGCTCAGTGGGAAGCCATGGGAGGGGTTGCAGCTCACGGGGAGGGAAGTGACAAACTTGTATTTTAGAAGTAGGCTTCTGGCTGCAGCGGTGGAGGTGGAACAGAGAAGGGTCAGACAAGGAGCACAGTGGCATCCCGGAGACAGCTTCAATAATTTAGGCGAGAGAAGATGGAGAAACGTGACTTGCTTAAACTGCAATGTTAATGTAACCTTTTCCCAGATATCATCTCTGTTGGCAGAATTGGAGGCAATCCGAAGAAATTCAGCATTCCAAAAGAGGTAAATATATTTCACTATCCAAGCATTGCTTATAATTAAGCGAGGAAATTTGCTGTTGCTCATATTTATAAATCATGGCTTTTTGTATCAGGACCTCTAGTTAAGCTCTGCAAAAAGCACCGAGGTTACAGCACAAATTCTCCGTGATTTCTAATTAAAATATTTCTGACACAGATTGAAAAGGACATTCCTAGAGGATCAGGGTAAGTGAGTGAGGCATCTGAAACAGTGTTTAAAGCAGTGAATCGCGTGAAGAAAGCAAGGGAGTGACAGAAAAGTTGGGCAGGGACCTGCCACAGTGTTGCTCATGTGCTCAGAGATGGGGTTCATTTCGTCCTGTATTACACTTTACATGCGTGTGATACATCTGACTTTGTATATGTGAAGTACATCAATGTAGAATTTTTAAACTAAAATGTGACTTAGAGGGTGGGAGCCCTAACAGCCTGTTGTTCTAGCTGTCACATATCTTTTTTTTTTTTTTTAAGATAGAGTGTGTAGCCTAGTCTAGTCTCAAACTCATGGTGGCCCTACTGCCTCAGCCTCCCAAGTGCTAGGATTACAGGTGTGCACTACCAGCCTGCCTGTGGTATCCTTTTTCTGTAGGACCACAGATCTCTAGATGAGCACTAGGCCTTCAGATATAAGGGGTTGGAGCTCTTACTTTAATCTTGCCACCATTTGTTTCTGATTTTGTTTAGCACAGGATAAAAATGGAGTCTAGAAATAATTGGAAGTATTATAAGCTTCTAACTAACATAAGCCAGCCATGGTGGCAGACAGCTATAATCCCAGCTCTCTGGGAGGTAGAGACAAGAGAATCACAAGTGGGAGCCCAGACTAGGCAAGTCAGTGACTTGGCTCATGAGACCGTGTCTCAAAATTTAAAATAAAATGGCTGGGGATGTATGAGTAGCTCAGAGTGAAGGTCCTTTGTTCAACCTCCAGGACTGCAAAAACAAAAACCAAAAAAACATAGCAGGCCACTGATAAAGACAGTGGCACACAGTTCTGGAGGCTCAAATCCAAAGGGTCCACACTACCTCCCACCACTCTGAGACCAAGCCTTTCCTTTACACATGGATCTCTGGGGATCCAAACCATAGTGGTAATCTTTCCCCTTATGTAACAGGGGGCATTTCCTTATCTGCATTTTATAACTAATCTTTAGGTTAACAGGGCATGAAAACCCTGCCGATGCATTTGTTTAATCTATTTTAGGGCTGGTCTTTTATTTTATCCTGCTTTCCAGTGTCGTTGTCTCTCAGTGGACCAGCATGCTGAGAGTGGTAGCGCTGCACCTTAAGAAGCATGGACTGACTTATGCCACCATCGATGGCTCCGTCAATCCCAAACAGAGAATGGACTTGGTAGAGGCATTTAACCACTCCAGGGGCCCTCAGGTATGAGCTAGTGACAGCAGAGCTTTATAATCAAGGAGCAAGTTGTTATTAGTTACAAAAAGAACATTGTAATACAGCAACTCAATTTAAACATAGTCATGGCTTTGATACCTCCAAATGTCGATAATTTATTAAACATTTATTGAGGTACTTATTAAAGAGTACAAGTATGCTAAAGAGAATGAAATACAAGGACTGAAAGGAGATTTGGAGCAGAGCTGGTTAGGACCAGGAGAATCTTTCTGGCAGAGGTGAGCCTGGAAGGATAGTTGAGATTTTGATAGGAGGCAATGTGGAAGGAAATGGAAGAACAGTCATCTAATCATTGATAATAAGGATTTGGAAAACATTAGTTGAGTGATTGGCAGGAGAATTATTACAGCAATAGTAGGGCAGGAACTGATGGAATAGACAAAATCTGGTTAAAGGAAAGTTTATTGAGTTGACTGCCTCAGGGCTCTAAATTATAGTATTCATATATTTTGGCATGCAGTCAGTTTTTTGAGGTTGACTCCTAAAAAGCTGAGATGTGAAAAGTTTTTCAAAAGTGAGGCATGAAAGATGGCATCTTAATGTTTCCAAAGATAATAACAGGAGGAAATTTGATAGGAATATGTTGCTTACCTGTTTTGATTTGGGCTTGAACCTAAAATAAAAGACAAATGCTCTTAGCTTTCCATCACTATAACAAATACTTCGGGTAATATAAAGAGAAAAGGTTTATTTTGGCTCACAGATTTGAATGTTGCAGTTCATGATTAATTGGCCCTGTTGATTTGGGTCTGTGGTAGGGCAGCATGCCATGGCAGGAGTGCATGGCAGAGCAAAACTGATCACTTTGTGGCCAGGAAGAAAGAGAAAGGAGCTAGGGCCCTTCAAGAGCATATTCCCAATGACCTAAAGACCTCCCAATAGGCCCCACTTCTTAAAGGTTCCACAGCCACCAATGATACTATGCTGGGGATTAGCCTTTACTACATAGACTTTTGGGAGATACTTAAGATCCAGACTATACCAAATGTATTGTGAGACCAAGTCTGTATAAAGTTAACGGTATGTTTCCTTTTGAAGGTTATGCTAATCTCTCTCTTGGCTGGAGGTGTTGGTCTAAATCTGACTGGAGGAAACCATCTTTTCCTTCTGGACATGCACTGGTAAAGATTGTGGACTTTTCTTGAGTTGTTGCAGCATAGCAGGGAGAATAGGGTACTAGAGGGGCAGTAGGGACTGACTTTCTGTGTCAAGTATGGACTTGTATTAAAGAGATGCCTTGTGTATACACATCTATAATGCCAACTCTAAACAGGATGTAAGGCTAGTTGACATTCCTGAATTCCTGAGCAATCTTCAAATGACTGCTTAAAACAGTTCATTCACTTTATTGTTAATTTAACATCTGTTTCCATAGAAACTGGGAGCATAGCTTTTCCCCAGGCTATGAGTTTACATCATGCCGTTTTAGCTCTTCTCTAGAAACCATATTCCAGACATATTTGTTGAGATCCAAAGAAATTTTAATCTTAGGAGCATTACTCCAAAAAGAAAGGAAAACTTTTCTACTGATATTAGAAATACACTTAGTACACAGCCTTTGGATTTGTTGTATGTAGTGCTACTGTCAGGAACATGCCAGTATCTGTCCTGGATACAGGATGAGTGAGTTAATGTGTTACTGGGAGAAAGTCTCATATAAGTTAAACAAGTTTCTAGGTTTCCATTTCTGCCAGTCAAGGACTGCTACACCATGCACTCCTTCTGGGATTGTCTAATTTTCCAGGCAGCCCAGATTAGTATAAACAGACCAACCTGTTATTATCTTCTTGGAGAAAGTTTAGGTCTTATTTGGGCCTGTATTATATACATAGGAGTGAGGAAAGGATGCTAGGGATTATGCTATTTTCTGAGATGGAGAACTGTTATCAGGATTTAAAGAAGTAACATGAGAAAATGAGAATCCATAAAAAGGAAACAAGTCTCTTAGATGAATGATGGAATATTAAAGTTGAAAAAGGTAAATATTGAGAACATTAGCCAGCCCTCAGGTTTCCACGTAATGATCTGAACTCTAAGAGTGTGGTTAGAGAACTTACCCAAGGTCATCCAGCTAACTAAGGACTGTATTTAACTATTGGTTTCACCTCCATTACTTCTAGTTATCAGCTGATAATAGTGCTAAGAGTTCTTATTAGTAGTCTGACCCCACTTTTTCATTAGAGGGCAAGACTGTGTCTGGCACTAGCATTTTTTAGCTCAATATAGCCTACACAGGGGTTGACAGACCTTTTCTGTAAATATCTAAGGCTTTGTAGGCCAAAGTTCTTTGTCACTTATTCTTCTTTGAGGGTTTTGTGTGAGTGTGTGTGTGTTTCTTAAACCTCTTTAAGAATATAGCAATTGTTTTTAGCTGAAGAAGCATATGAAAATAGGCTATGGGCTGGATTTGGCCCAAAGGCCGTAGTGTGTCATGTACATCTAGGAGAGACCTTTTTTGCTTCTCCTCTAACAGGAATCCGTCCCTTGAAGATCAAGCTTGTGACCGAATTTACCGAGTAGGGCAACAGAAAGACGTTGTCATACACAGGTAAGAAAAGACCTCGAAGCCCTTTTCCAACTTCTGCTTTTCAGAAGGCCTTTCTTGAGTAGTATTTTAATGGAATGCAAAGTATTTGGTGATCAGTTCAGTAATGATGTGCCCATGTGATACCCTCAGGCATATTACAGTCTGGAAGGAAACAAGCAGTTTGAGGTAACCATGTAGTTCATTACTGCCAAGGAACTTTGGCTTTTTGGCTTTTAATATTTATTATGACATACTTTCAGACTTACAGAAAACTTTCAAGAAGAGCATCAAAAAATTCCTGTATACTCGTGTGTGTGTGAATAAACTTCTTTTTCTGAGACAGTAAGTTGTAGACACAATGCTTCTTTATCCCTGAGTAATTAAGTCTACATTTCCTGATGGAAGAATTTTCTCTTACATATTCAACAATAAAATGATTAGAATCAGGATATTAACAGCACTATAATACTGTTATCCGATCAGCAGACCTCATCCAGTGATGCCCTTCACAGCAGAAGAGAACCCAGATGGCACGGGAACACGCAGTTGTCAATGACCTGGCCTCCTCATTGGCATAATATCCCAGTCTTTCTTTGTTTTCTAACACTGACTCCGAGAGCGCAAGCTCACTGTTTTGCACAGTGCTCCTCTATTTGGGAGCCTCCCATCTTTAAGAACAACAAAACCTACTTTACTGCTATAGTTCATTCTTGCTATGAGCCTAGTCTTCTTCCTTTTCATGACCAAGTTTCTTGAAGGATTTAGAAATCATTGTATTTACTTGCCTGTCTCTTATTCATTCTTCAGTCTGTGCAGCCTGGCTTTTACCATTATTGTTCACTTAAGCTACTCTTGTTAAGGATACCCATGACTTCCAAAATTTGCCAAATGCAATGATGATGTTAATTTTCCTCTTTAGTGCTCTCCTTGGCTCATTCTCTATGTTCCTTCTTTAAAAATTCTATTCACTCCAGTGAGTCCAAAATCAGTGTCTTTATTTCCACATTTTCTAACCTTGAGACCGGAATATCCAAATCTTGCTAAGTATCTGAACCAAAGTACTCACACACTCATCTATATTCACCCATTTGTGCACTCAGCTCTAAAACAAATAGCTACTGAACACACTGTATTAGCACGTATAATTACATGTTGCAGGATCAAAATGTCACAAACTGAAATTTCTTCCTACCATGCCAGAATTATTAATCCTTCTGCATTCATTGTCTTTGTGAAGTGTCACTTTCTATCATGTAGCCAGAAACTAAACTCTTTTCTCTTTCTTACTTTTCACCAAGTCCTTTAGTTGTATTTTCCAAATATTTCTGATAAGCATCCCTTCTCCTCCCAGTACCACTGCCATCTTCCTCTTTTCAGCTCTTACTCTTGTTTATCCTCTGCATCACCACCAGAGAGCTCTTCTTAGTCAATCTGATTGTGACACTCCACTCAAAGTTCAGTGGTTTCACTTTCTGGAGATAATATGTAGACATCTTAGCATGACAGGTACAGCCACTCATGATCCAGCCCCTCCAGCCCCTTGAAGTTTTGCCACTGGTCAAGTAGATTGGATGACATGATCTTCCTCTAACATACCATGTTCTAAATGGTTTACATGTTCCCATTCCCTGGGATGCCCTCTCAACTCTCCCATCTGGCAGCCCCTTGTTTATCTTACAAGTTGCACAATAAGAATTAATCCTTTAATGGATACTTTCCTACGCATCCTACACAGATTTCCTTGATATTGTAGCACTTAATAGGTATTATTATTATTATTATTTTTAGGTTTGCATGTCTCACAGATTTACTTCTATTGTAGCACTTGATAGATCATATTATTATTATTAGGTTTTCATGTCTCTGCTGTTTCACTTTCAGAACTGTATTCATTTCACCACCCCAGTACCTAACATAGTACATGTTATATAGCAAGTGCTTAATCATGTTGAATGAAAATTAATTCTTTTTATTTTTTATTAGTACATGTTTTCAGTACATAATGTTTGTATTCCTTGAGGGGAGTTGGTACTTGTACAGAACATGTCTGAATTTTTTTCATCCCCTTCCCCTCCCTTTTCTCCCCTTTCCTTCCATCTCTCAATTCCCCTGCCATTTGAGAAAGATCTATCTTCCTATTTCCTATTATCTGTCTTTTATTTTCTCTTTATTTATGTATTGGCTTTCTCATATAAGAGAGACCATGCAGTTTTTAAGCTTATGTGTCTGATTTATTTCATTTAATATTATGGTCTCAAAGTGGATCCATTTAAAATTAATGTTTTAAAAAATACTGGTGAATAAATGAATGAAGACAACAGTGCACATCCTTAGCTTGAAAAAGCTGTTTTGAGTGACAACCAAGAAGCGAGATACTCCGTACTTGAACTGGCACACATATACCTGACAGGAACTTGGTCTTTGCAGTCTTAGGGGACTGTAATATGGAGCTTGGAGGAAAGCTGGGTCTCTAGTTTTTTGTTTTGTTTTGTTTTGGATAGAACTATCTTTTGCTTATTTTAAGCTTTCTTAATTACACTAGCTTCAGAATGAAATACAAAGTCAATCTGAGGCCTATATTTTAAGTGAACCTACATTTAGTCAAGGTTGCTTATATCTCTTAAACATAGAGTTCTTAACTGATTCTGAAAACTTGAAATCTCATTAGTAATCAGTGGGATAGAAGCTTGAATGTGCTATTAGACAAGCTGCTTTGGGTTTCTGATAGTTTTCTTATTCGTTTTTCAGATTTATTTGTGAGAGGACAGTGGAAGAGAAGATCCTACAGCTTCAAGAAAAAAAGAAAGATTTAGCCAAACAAGTTCTCTCCGGATCTGGAGAATCTGTCACCAAGCTTACCCTGGCTGACCTCAAGGTCCTTTTTGGCATCTAACCCCCTGTCTAGGGTGCAGTCAGTGCCACTACTGGTTTGAATTAGCATCCGGGAAAATACCCTAGCCTTCACCCCTGAGCTCTGCTCTGGCATTCCATTTCACCTGCAAGCCTTACACGCTCCTCAAAACAAGGCATAATCTTGTCTCTAGAACTGAGGATGGGTTATTATGTTAAACATCTGGTTACTCAATTATATTAACAGCTTCTTTAATGCATAGCATAGAAACCAATCAGTTCATTCAGTTAAATACAGTTAGACAACTCTGGCAAAATTGTATCTAAGCTTCAGTAAAGCTCAAAAAGCCCTGCACTGCCTTTCTTGGCTTAGTTGGTTCGGGAACCTGTGTTACAGGCTTATGTCCTCTTGCTGGTCCTGCCCATCTCTTCTTGCTCCTGACAGCATTTCAATGGGCTGAGCAGAGAGTAGTCCCCAGCCAGCCATTCTTCTGCAGCTGTCTCAGTCCAGGCAGTTCTTCCTTTCAAGCTTAAGATCAAGGAGATGCTTTGCCCATAAACATGTTGAGTACTGTATTGTTACTTCATTTAGTATCAGTGTGTCATTTAGGGTTTGCATCACTGTATCATTTAGTAGTGTATCACTTAGTAGTGCATCATGTAGTATATCAGTGTGAATATCACTTAATCACTATCATTTAATGTTTCTATCATATTTTAGTTATTGGTAAGATTGTCATTTAGAATTTATTGAATCGTTCTGTATTTGTTATTGTATAGTCTAATAAATATGTGTTTGATAGTGTTGCAGAGATAATGCTGTACGTTCACCAAAACCCATTTCCTTTTCCTCTGGCCACCCAGAGGGACTGCACATCCTAGACTTTGCTATAGTTAGACATGCCTGTGTTACTGAGCTCTAATCAGTGGACTATGGAGAGAAGTGAGGTAAGGCATTTCTAGACTGCTCTCTACAGCTCTCCAAATGGTTCTTCACACTTTCTTCCCTCTTAAACCTGCTGGATGCAAAGGAACTAACAGGAAGATGGCACAGCCTTACAAGAATAGTGAAACTACTAGGTCTTGGGTTCATAACCTAAGCTTGGCCATAGATTCTTTTGTCAGACCTGGTCCCTGAAGGACTGAAACAAAGCCTTCCCCATTGCACTCTCTTCCTCCTTCAGCTCACCTGCACTGCACTATGGCATGATCAAGAGATCATTTTTTTAAGCCAGAGATTTGGGCGTTGTTAGTATTAGCAGCTAGTACCCTAATACAAACACTGGAGACTTTTATTCTTCAGAAAACTAACAGGTTTCCTCTTCTGATTTATACTTATCTCAAAAGTTACTCTGCTAATTTCAGCTAGAAATAATAGTTTGAAAGAAACATTTCTTCCTTTGAGTTGGGTGAAAAGACAAAACTATGTTAACCCAGGCATGGTATAGATTGATTCATTGAGGTCTCTAAGCAAAGGTTTCCTCTAAGGACAAGATCTAAAGGTTTACAAAGGTAAAGACAGCGTGGCCTGCTGAAAACCTCAACTTAGCTCTAATTTATAGGTTCACCTTAGTTGCATGTGTAACCAACTAATTTTTGGACAAAATCATTAAGTTCTGTGTTTTGGTTTCCTCATGTGTAAAATGGGTGTGTTTTCAGAATTTAGCAGCTAAAATAAGGTCTTTGATAAAATCAGGAAATGAAAACAGTGAGATTACCCTTTTGGAGTTATAATTTCAACATTTGAAAATATAGTTACCTGAGAACAAATGGCTTCCAGGTCAGCAAGAATGTACAAACCTTGCCTGTGCCACTAGCTAATTGTCTTGCATTAGTGTAGTTACAAATTAGGTGGGCATCTCAGCATCTCTTAAGATATGTAGACTCATATATTCATGCTCCATTAGGAAATTAATAAATATAGCTACTATAACTTGTTTGACCAAATAAGTAATGTCAATCAGAAAGGTGTGAGAGGAACATTGCTAGTGTCCATTCCAAGTGTCCTTTAGGGGAGAAATTATTAACTTTCAAATTCAAGCATTCTGGCTTTTAGTTTGGAGAGGGATACAGGAACTATATAATCTTCAGATACTTAAAGCCCACTGACAAATGTGACCTACTGTAAGATTCCTCCTGATATCTTAAACTTTCTCTAATTTTCCTTGTTGTGATGGCAAGCTAGTAAAGCCACCTAATTATGTCTAGGTGTTCCTAAAACAATGAGATGCTACTGATGTGTTGAGGATGTAGAAAAAGTAGGAAGCACTGTCCTAATAGGATGGTGTATACTAAACTCATCCTTAAATCCTAATCCTTAGGTAGAAATGTCTCATAGACTAATAAGTGGCAGTCTGATGTCTTATGTCAGACTCATGTCCATTTTAGTTGATGCAGATCAGTTTCTTAAGGTCTGCATGTGACAAGGTATCTCAGTAACTTCTAGCATTGGGCAGGAACCCACAATGTAGTGATCTAATTGAGGTACTACTCTGTGTCAACCAGCTCTCCTTGATGTGATAACCACTACTGCTGCGTTTCTTTTCATATCTGCTGGCCTCACCAGACTTGGGTATAAACAACCTGAGGTAACAAATACTTTATAAACAGTGAAGTGCCATACAAGTGCTAGAGATACTACTGTGGAACTAGGTGTGGGAATATGAGAATAAAGAGCATGGGTGCAGCTGACAGAACTTGATGGTGAATGTCTGTTGCCAAATTAGGTTTTTGAACACCAAATTTACAAAGAATTTCTTATGGGACAGAATTTCCTTCATGGAAGGTCTATACAGTTGAATTCTTTAGCTCTGTGACTCAAGAGCATCAATGCATATTCCTGGGCCCTTTAAAAACTGCATCCAGCCAGGTACAGTTATGCATGCCTGTAACCCCAGCACTCCAGAGGCTGAAGCAGGAGGGTCGAGGACAGCCTGGACTACGTAGTGAGTTGAAGGCCGGCCTGAAGTATATAGTGAGATCCTGTCTCAGAAAGAAAAAGAGAGAGGAGAAAGAAGGAAAGAAAGGAGAAAGAAAAAAAAGGACTCCTGCCTCCATGCAATCATTACAAACATCATAGGCAGAAATATATATTAAAAAATGCAACATGATCCCATTCTCTAGCAATTCTGTGATTTAGTCTGCCTGTTTGTGAACACTAGATGTTTTCTCTGGTTATCGCCTGCTCCATGAGAGGACTCTTAGCAGAGCTCCAAGGTGGAGCCAGATTGTTCTGCACTAATAGGATAATCATGGGACCACCAGTACTTCTTGTGGTCTGTCGGTCTAAAATTTTTATGTCTACCTAATACCTTGAAAAAATTGGGTTTATGAAGTGGGATGTTGTACTGCTGTGTGTTACATTGCATGTAGCCCTAGGAGAATACAGGAAAAACAAAAAAGTATATCTGTAGGCACAAAGAAAATTATAATTGAAATTTAGAATTCCTATACATATAATTAGATTAAAATGTTTTCATTGGTGAAAATGAAATTAGGGTCAGTTTTAACCCATTTATGCCAGAGTTTGCAATTTTTAAAAATGTTTTGCATGAAATTCATACGTTACCTAGAAAAATTCAAAGGACGGTAATTTGAAGAGAAAATTTTTTATTATGTTCCACTGTTATGTGCCATTCCAAAAAGGATCACTAGGCATACAAGAATTAATACAATGTACCAAAGGAGTGAGGAGGTGAGGGACACAGATGAAAACAGCAGCCTACCCTAGAGAGGGAACAGGGAAACAAGTAGCTACATAATGTGTCTACTATCTTAAGTCTTTTCATCTAGACTGCATAGCTAATTCTGAGTGCAGGTGGAAATTATGAAAGGAAGTATGGGGAGTGTCTTAGTTACTTTTTCATTGCTGGGACAAAATACTCAACACCCACAAGTTAAAGGAAGAAAGGTTTATTGTAGCTCACATTTCGTAGAGGGTTCAGACCACAGTTGGCTGGCTCTAAGGCAGAGCAGCATGGCGGAGGGGCATTTCAGAGGAGAAACAGTCCACATCAGGACTGCCAAGAAGGCAGCAAGCAGCAAGCCTCCCTTTCCCTTTCATCCCATCTAGGCTACAAGCCTTCTGGGTGGCATCACCCCACGCACGGTGGGCTTTCCCATTATGTACACCATGAGCTATGACGAACCAATTAGTGGACTAGTCCAGTACCACTACCCTTAATCCCAGTATCACACACCCTAAATCCAGCCACCTCTGAGAAGCCCCACCTATTGAGTGCATGAGGCTTTAGTGGGACATCTAGATACAAGCCATAACGGAGAATACTTGTGTGGCCTGATTATTAATAAATTAGTTCAGAAATATGCACCAAGCATCTACTGTGTGCCAGTCACTGCTGAAAATATTGGGAGAAGCAAAACCAAACAGTCCTGTTTTCCTGAGGCATAGAGTCTAGCAGAGGAGACAGGCATGAGTCTAATAACTAGGTATGACTGTACAGTGGCATGAAGACTAGTGCTATGATGGAGAGGCATGTGTAGTTGCATGGGCTTATAATGGATTTGACTTAGGGGAGATCTTTGATGAAGTAATGAAGGAATTCCTACATCAGTACATAGGAGCTAACCAGTGAAATGCCTTTCCCTATATTCTGCTTCTAATTAGCATTCAGTTCATCCCCAAGGATGAAGGTTCTAATTTGTGGTTCTTTTCTTGCCTATAACACCAGCAGTATACTTTACATTATAGTGCTGCATCTCGTCGATGCTTCAGTGCTCACAACTTGAAGACAGTTTCTGAAGGACTTCATTACACTGGAAAAATTCCTAAATCCTCCAACTCCTTTTTTCTCACCTTGGAGACCTGAGCTCTGTATATCAACTTTACCAGATCTTTGAGCCAGTTGGATTAAATTGGGTTAACTCCATTACTGTGCCAGCCAAGGAACAACTTCTCCCACTGACATGCATCCAAACTTTAAATATTTTTAACAGAATTGTTATGATACCATTAATACTGCTTAAAGGCTAAGGCATCAGCCAGAACTATAATGTGTTACAGATATTTTATTTGTTTTTGTTTTTTTTTTTTCGGTACCAGGGATCAAGCTCAGGACCTTGCACTTGCAAGGCAGGGGTGGTGCCACTGAGCTACATCCCCGGCCCTTCTTATGGATATTTTCTATTGCATTATAACTTCATCTACAGTACAGTTGTCCAGTTACTAAAACTTTTTCCAACTGAAACAAACAGTAAGTTTTGTATAAGGTTTTGCAATTTGATTCACATGGGGAAAGATGATGTAATGTAATACAACAGGTTTCTTCCTGGCGAGCAATTCCCTAGGTGTTTGAGGTAACTGGAAAATTCAAGACAGTCCCTCAGGTGCACATAATTTATGCAACATGTTTAAGAAGGCTGATATTTCCTGCCCAAATGATTTTTGGTTCAATGAAAAAATTGGTGTTTGAGAAAAGACAGTCTTATGAAAACAGATAAAAGCAGATCTAAGCTAAAAATGCTGACAATTAGATCTTTATTCATTCAACATATTAAAGTCTCTATTATGTTCAAAGAAATGTCCTACATAAGGATAATACAGTAGTTATTAAATGTCAAATTCCTGCCCTCCTGGAGCTTACACTCCCAAAAGGAAGACACTAAACAGAATATTTCTGTTAGATGGTGATGAGGGTGAGATGGAGTCCTGGGGTGGGATGTTGCAGGGCGACTGGGGACCTCTCTAATAGTATGGTAGTGGACACTGGAACAGAAAGCTGAAGAAATCAGTGAACTATGTAAATATCTGGGAGATGTGCATTTCAAATGGAGGAAGAGTGATTATAAAGGCCCCAGGATGGAGTGCTATGGAGTCTGAGGAGGACCAGGCAGGCCAGTCTGGCTGAAATAGAGTGATGGAGGGGGATGTGTAGGAAATGAAAGAAGAGCAAGGATCCAGATTGTGCTGGTCATTCATACTGATGTGAAACTGATCACTGGCTTTTGTTCTGAGTGTAAGTTGGGAGGGTTTCAAGCAGAAGACTCACAAGAGCTGACATTTTTAAAGGATCTGACTATTGGATGAATAGTGTGAAGAGTAAGGGTAGACACAAAAAGACTAGTTAGAAGAGGGTTGCAAACCTTCATGTGAGAAATCCTGGTATGCCAGACTAGGATGATAGCAATGAAGATGGACACCAGTGATCACCAGATATATTCTGAAAGTAGGGCTGATAGGATTTGTCCATGGATTTGGATACAATGGGTGACAGAACTTTTAAGCATGTTTCCAAGGCTATTGACTCTACCAGCTCTAAGGTCGTACTTATGGTTTCCTTTTAAGGAGAAGAAGACTGCAGGAGAAGCAGTTTGGTAGTAGTAAGCAAATGGAAGTGAGAATTGGAAACTGAAAGTCTGTTAGAAACATCTTAAATTTCAAGTCCTATTATACATGCAAGGGGAGATGTTAAGCAAGCTATTGGACCTAATACAAGAGAGACTGGACTGAGAGATAAATTTGGGAGTCATCAGTATATAAATAGTATTTAAGGTCAGTATAGGATGAGGTCATCTAGAGAGTGAGGAAAAAGCAAATGCAAAAACTGATCCTTGGCTCCCTCTGATGTGTAGAGAACAGGAAGATAAGGAACAACGAGACAGAATTAAGAAGAGTGATCCCACATAAAACAAGCAAAGACAATACTTCATGGAGGAAAAAGTGATCTGCTCTGCTAAATGCTAGTGACAGGCCAAAAAGGAGACCAACTGAGAAGTAACATTGCATGGTGACCTTGACAAGAACTACTTCACAAAGTAGTCTTAAGGATAACAGATTGATTGGATTAGATTTCAGAGGCAATGTAAGGAGGGCTCTATAGACAGCAAACTACCGTTCTTAGGACAGCACAGAAATTGGGTGCCAAAGGGAGATATAAAATTGTTATGGACCAATTGTGTCCCCCAAAGCTGAAGCCCTAATCCCCAATATATATGAAAAATGGGCCTTTCAAAAGGTAAGTAAAGGTTAAATTGGGTCCAGTAAGGTTAAATGGGCCCTAATCCAACAGGGCTGTAGGTATCCTTAGAAGAGGAGGGAGAGATACCAGGACCATACACACACAGGGGAAAGGCTATGTGAGGATGTGGTGAGAAAGCTGTCACCTATCAGCCACAGAGATACCTTGTCAAAAACCAATCCCACCAGCATCTTTATCTTGGACTTTCAAAAAAAAAATGACCATGGCAGATTGTATGCGAAAGTGGTTATGACAGTCTAGAATTTAGGTGAGAAAGATGAAGGGAAGGACATGGGAGTGGGGGGATGAGAGGGACAGTAAGAAGAGGGCAGTCACTGCATTATGGGTTCCAAAGAAGTAGAAGAATTTGTAGAGTCAGATTATTACATCAGGCAAGCTCAAAAGATGGGAGCCTGTGGTTATAGGATGCTTGAAATGGAGACGAATCAGAAGGCAAAGATGGAATCAAGGTCTAGGGTCTGATCATACAAATTAGGTAGGGGAAAAAAAGAACACTGGAGAACTGGTCGGACAACTAAGAAGTCCATGAGGGCACTGAATTATTTGAAGACTGATGAAGAGCAGTACTGGAGTGATAGCAAGCTTGATCCTATAATCTTCAAAGAATAAGGAACAATGATTTGGGGCTCTTTAGATGGTTGAACCATGGATGAATAGCAAATTGTACAGTTTAAAGGCATGAGTTTCAAGGCTGGCCATGTTTAGATGTAGGGATAATGGTCTAGAAGACAGTTTCTTAACTGGCACTACTGATATCTTCAACTGGATAATTCTTTGCCTGGAGGTGGGGGTGGGACAAATCACCCTTGGTTGAGAATCATGGTCTTAAAGCAGCAATGATGAGCTAAAAGGACACCTGACCATGGGTCCAGTAATATAAGCAGAAAGGGTAAACAGCTGGAGGATATCAGGGCCAGCAATGTTTTCTGGGAAGATCAGATTTTGGTGAGAGAAAGAGACTGAAGGGAATGTTTCCAGAAAAGGATGAGAATATAGACACTATCTTAGTGTTTACGGCTCCAATGTAGCCCTCATCTGTCAGTTTCAAGGAGGAAATGTATTCCATGATGATCTGACAGTCATCTCATTACTTCACGTCCTTTGCCTGACCCAATTCACCACTCACATGAGTCACCTACTACTTAAGCAATCCAACGATGCAAATTTCAGTAATGTTATTTAATACATGCTGAGTTTATTGCTATTTAAGAAATTAAGCGGCCCAGGGCCGGGGATTTAGCTCAGTGGTTCCGCTGCCTGCCTTGCAAGTGCAAGGTTCAATCCCCAGTACAAAAAACAAAAAATTAAGCATCTCAGAACACACAAAATGTATACAAAGAAGACCTTGGCAGGACTGAGGTACCAGTTCTACATCCTCTCCGAAGAACTCTTCAGCAGCTAAGAAATTACCATGTAAGTCAAAGCTGCCAGTTAAGTTTCTAGATATACACACATAAGCAAAGATTACCATCTAAAAATCAAAGAGAAGTGAGGAGGATGAAATTGTCTAGATTGTTTGGTACAAGAACTACAATAGATGTATGAGATCTATTTCAGGCTCATTCCCCTTCATTAACTTTCTACTTGCATGCCCTCTACCTCATAGTAATTCTGTAGGATATGTGAGTTGGGGATGAGCATGGTGCATTAAGGGAGGAGGAGCCACCCACTGAAACATCAAAGTCACATTGAAATGATCACAAAACATGTATCAGTAATTCCACTGAAAATGAGCTAGCAAAAAGTGGATAGGACAAAAGGAGGTTTTCATTCTCTGGGGGAAATAGCTAAATAATATGTAGCTCAGGGATAAATTGAGAAGGTTATCAAATATCAGAATGTAAGGAAATCAATTACTACACCTACCATAATCTCTAATTTCCAATGGCATACACCCCTCCATACATATAGCCTCCTATAGTATGGAAAGAACACTGCCAACTTACCTTTTGGAGAAATGTGTGCTCAACAATCCACAAGTACAACCAGTGAATAACTCACAAAAAAGCACTGGAACTCTAATGTCAGATAAGGCTCTTTTTTAAATTCTGTCTGTCTCTTCAGAATTTATGAAGCTCTGCAGTCCTCTGGAAATCTGCAGCTTTACCAGGCTGATCTCGTACTCAGGAAATCATCAGAGTGCCACAGTTCTTAGCAGACTCCTTGGTGTGCTCTGCCCGCCTGTGCATGTGCATTCAGACTTCTCAGTAAACTTCCCGCAGCAAGACCAGTGGGGACGACCTGGGTGGCCCTTGTGCCCATGGCCACAGCCTAGGTACCCACCTGCATGGTACAAAGGGAGAAAAACAATCCTAGGAGTAGATGCTGGCTGGCACCATGGAAACTAAGTCTCCGGTTAACATCTGGGTTCATGGGAATGAAAATATCCAAGGAAGACGTTAGAGGAACAAGCTATCTGACTCCGTCGCCAGTCAGGAAGACTCTCAAGAATGCTCACAGCCAATCAATTGGTTACCCAAAGCTCTCAGGCAGTGTTAAAATGTGCTAACCGAATGAGATGAACTACTTTGGACTTTCACTGTAAAATGAACTGGTTTGGATTTTAACTATATGATTGAAATGAAAAAAAGGGTAGAGGAGTGGAAATGAAAAAGAGGCAGATCCTGAAGTGGTTATTTGGAAGGTACAAAAGTCTATGTTATAGCCTACCATTAGGGTGAGGACAGGATAAAATAATTTCTTAAAAAATAATTGGGTCCCTTGCATGAGCTTCTACCTCCCCCAAAAAGAGCCAGACCTGGTTCAATCAGTTGAGTCATTCTTGCCTCATTTGGAATTTCTTTAAAGTTTTGAAAGAGATACAGTGGGTCTACATTTTTCACACTTAGCCTGCTGAAAGGGTACTGAATGAAACTGTGAGTCCCACAGAGAAGCAGAGTGCTCACAGGATTGGTTAACTATCAAAACTAAAGACCTCAGAACTTTCAAGCTTGCTATTTCAATTCAGAATAAAGCAGCTTGTTTAAGCAGGAAGCAAAACTTTTATCATGTCTCTATACATAGAGACACTTCCTAGAACAAAGCCTCAGTCCAGACAGCCTAACCTAGTGGCTGTGCGACCGTGGAAGGGACTGTCGCTTGATTCCTGCTGCTGGCAGACAGGCCCGAGGGTAGTGATGTTCCCCTTACCTGGCATGGTACCTCCACAGGCACAGCGTGCATTCTTCTGGCCTCCACTGGAACAGAAAGTGCAGCAGTGAAACACTCCTAGGTGTGGGTGACGCTTTCTCCTCACGGTCACAGTGAATGGGGAGCCCTTCAGTGTTCAGACCAAAAGCAAGGAATAGCACCTTATGAGTCAGTGGGGTGTGCTGAAAACTGTGACATGCTCAACAGTTTTAAGTCACAGAGCCTGCATTTGGAGGGGCAAGGCAGACAGGCAAAGAACATTCAGCTGGGTGGGCACAGACACCACTGCAGAGAAACTGGAACCAAGGAGTCTGTGTAGCCATGCTTTTCATCACCCTTCAACTAAACCCCCTGGACACTAAGCATGGTCCCACATGGCCAGCTCCATTTTCAGTGACATCTGAATTATCTGGGGCTTATTCTGCCAAAAGGGCAGAAAGACAGAAAGGCCATACCACCACCAGCTTAAGCTATTTCTTAATGGATTCTGCCTCCTTCCTGCCTTGCATGAAGTGAAAGTGTGTAGATCATTCGATACATTATCCACCTTTCTACTTTCATGTGACTGACTGGTCTTTAGAATTCTTAATTTCAGTTCCTGAAGAATCTCAGAGGGAATGTGTAGAATGTTACAACCACAAGGCTCCAATTTCTCAGCCACAGACTGTCTTTCCTCATTTAGTGAGCTAACCTCTTTTCTTGCCCCTCCATCCTACACGCATCTGAAACCCATCCATGCATCCTGAGACTGTGAAGACATATGGAAAGAAGAAAGGTTAAGTGTGTGTAGTTAATCAGTTTCAAATTAGTAACTCTTTCAACTGTCCCTTTTTCTTCAAGGATCACTTTCATTTTATAATTTGTGCTCCATATTAAACAAAAAATATTTAATAAATGTTTCAATTTGGCTCTCCCTATGTAAGAGCCGCATCATCTGAAAAAGCAGAAAGTAGAGAGCCTGATATCTTAGACATTTTTCCCAATGTTAAATTCCCCTTCTTTTAAAGGATAACCAGAGACTGAAACTTTTGAAACCATTAGGCAAAATAAACCTTTCTTCCTTCCTTCATGTCCCAAGTATTTTGTTACAGTAATAAAAAGCTGACTCCCACATAATTCATTTAAAAAAAACTTGGAGTTCAAAGAAAGAGATTCGAATTCTAATTCTACTACAGAGCTACTATATATTCTAGTCTCCATTTAACTGGACAATGATCCCTGTGCCTGAGTGTTTTGAGGAAGACTGAACTCGCTCATCATGGTGGTGTGTGGCTGTGATCCTAGCACTCAGGAGGTTGATCCAGGAAGACTACCAGAAGTCTGAAGCCAGTCTGGGCCACACAGTGAGTGTGAGGCCAGCATGAACTACGAAGCAAGACCCTGTCTCAAACAAAAACCAACAACAACTAAACTAAGGTAAACAAAAACAACTAGCTTGTTCCTGATATACTATGATTAAGTGAGCAATAAATAGCTATTGAATGAGTCTTCCTATTGCTGAGACCACAAGCGTAACACACCATGATGCTGCATGGCATTTCATTACTCCCATCAGGGTTGACATCTAGTTAAAGGAGACTGATTATTCCAAAGTCAACAGATGTCAGCAGAGAGATTCTGCTAGACATATATTACCCAGTTTTTAAAATTTCATAAGCCAGAAAGTGTTACACATAACTTTGGAGATAGTATAGTAACCATGGTAACAGATAAACCTTTATGTAAAACAGACACGAGAATTACATGGGCAGATGGTTAGGCAGATAGTTGAGAGGAGGGAGCATAACCTTAACCCTGCCAATTATGAAGTCCATGTCCAACCAGTCTGAACAAAGTTGGAAATCCCTGAGTTACATTAGTTTCTTGAATGGCATGCTTGTCTGCGGGTAGATTGTTCCCTGTGATCAAGGCATCTTCTCTAAGAATTCCAACAACCTGACTGGGAGAATCAATACAAGTATGACTCCCAGCAGATGAAATAGGGAGACAGAGTGCTTATGTTCACTAGTATCCTCTAGTAAAAATAAGACTAGCAAGATCTGGGCTGTTCCTATGGTGAAGGGAAGAAAGAAGAGAATCTACTGAATCTCTATGTAGCCAGTCCTGTAACAAATGTCTCCAGACCTTAAGAGGACAGAACTAGCAGGGTTGGGGTGAAAGGACCTCAGGGCTGCATATGTATGGGTCTTACCTGCACATGCTGCTCTTTGACACAGACCCACACGGTATAGATACCAGGTTCCTTTGGGGTGTAGGAAACAGAGTATGTCCCATCCTTGTTATCCTGGACCACTGTTCTGACTGGACTGAATGGAAATAAGAGTTCAAAAACCACTCCTCTCACAAGCCTGCTTCAGCTGCCTGACATTTTAGGATGTAAACTCTACATCATTCCATCCAATGTTACTTTTCTTTTCTTTTCTTTTCTTTTGGTACCAGGGATCGAACTCGGGACCTTTCGCTTTTGAGGCAGGTGGTGGAACCACGGAGCTAAATCTCCGGCCATTATTACTTTTAAATGTCCCTCAAATGGGATGTTTCTTCCACTTGCCTCGGAAGTTAATTTTATAACAAAAGGTAAGCAGCATAAATCCTACTTTAGTTTAATATTCAGACAAATTCCTTGAAATTTTACTGTTTTTTTCAAGAAGTTTCAGTTATATCTTTTTGCTGTTGTCCCTTCTCCATACTCCAGTTTCAGAGAAATATAAATATCTTCCTAGTACAATTTAGTAGCAAAAGTGGGCTACATTTTAGGAGGGACACCAATCAGTCTAACACAGAGATTCTTCAGTCTATTCCAAAGCTTGGAATGAAGACTACCTGAGGGCAGACTGTATCTTTCAGAGAGAACTGAATATCGAAATAAAACCCACATAAGATAACACATTCAAGTCAAGTGTGGTGGTGCACACCTGTAATTCCAGCATCCTGACAGATCAGAGGCAGGAGGACTGCAAGTTTAAATCCAGTCTGGGCAACTCAAGGACTTACAGAGATCCTATCTAATAATTAAAAGTGAAAAATGGATTGGGATGTGAAAGCCCTGGGTTCAGTCCTCAGTACTACAAAAACAAAACATTTGGCACAATTAGCCATACCATGTTTTTCACAACATTATGGCAAAGTAAGATAATGACCACAGTTACATCTCCAATTACTCAAAGGACCTATTTCCAGTTTCCTTACTGCTTATACCCATGGCACCTAACTGCATTAACACAAACCTGTCCTTCTTATCTTTAGGGACTACTGCAACATGGATGTTGTCTCCTCCCCTGCCCATGCTCTCTCCTGCAGCATCCTTACAAAACAGGGTGAAAGAGGCTGTCTGCTTCTCCCGAGCTCTGTGGAGATCTGCAAAAGACAAACAACTCAGTGCTCACCTCAAACACAAACTGCATGACCACATCCCAGATCAGACACCATCTTACGTTTTCTCTTCAGAACAAACTTTCTGCTTCCTGTTTATTGTAACCATGCTGCTCCCTTTCTTTTCTCTTCCCCTCCAAACTCCCAGAGTATCCCTTCTGAAGTCCTCCTGAGAGCCTGGTTAGCTCTCAGCCAGCAGCTGCTTTTGAGTCATACAGGATCCTGGACCTTAACCTCAGATCTAGTGAAACTTTGAAAATACTCAGGATTGATGTAGGTATTCAGAGAAGAAAGCTGACAGAATGTCAGAGAACAGTAACCCCAAACACCCTCTGCATGCTCTGGGTGTAGGGAGGGGGAACAGATGACCAGCGTAGATCCTCCACATTGTGAGGTCCTCTCTAGCTCAGTGGCTCCTGCCAAGGCGCTGGGGAAATATCCAACAGTTACAGCCCCCAAGGCAGCACGCAGATGAAACCCAGTGTTCATGAACTATTGGGAGGTCTGTAGAGAGGCTTATGAAGGGTATAAGAGTCTTCCGAAACAGTATGGCATAGTTAGTGGGTGTTTCTGGGGCAGAGATTGTCAAAGGGATCTATAACTTCCAAAGAGTTATGAATTCTTGCTAGAGTCAGGAGGACTCTTAAATACAGTCTTCCCATCAAGACTGATCTATAAAATGTGTGTTCAAAAGACATGCTGGGCGTGGTGGTGCATGCCTGTAATCCCAGTACTCAGGAGGCTGAGGCAGGAGGAGTGACATGAGTTTGAGGCCAGCCTGGGTTACACAGTGAGTTCCAGGCCAGCCTGAACTACACAGTGAGACCCTGTCTCCAAAAAAAAAGACATGCTTTCTTAGGGAAGAACACTGATAAAAAACAAAACAAAAAATTTCTTTCCCTAATGTATATCTAAGGACCCTTGATCCTTGAGTTCCTTGGTTGTTACTTTTCACAGCAGAAAAGAGTTAAGTCTCACCCCAGTATTAAATATTAACTGCACTCTGATCTGAACAAATCAGAAAAGGGTAAGGTGCGGGGGGTTACTTTCTCTTGCTCAGTGTGTCTCATAATCAACTGGTCAGTAGGGGAGCTCTTCCAGCTGCACTAGCCACAATTCTTTCAGTATCATGGCCCTGTGCACTGCCCTCTCAATGCTACTGAGAAGTGCCTTCCTACCTTCTCCTTGAAGGACACATTTGGCTGGATCAACTTCTTTGGTATTAATGGTCCCATAAACTTCATAGCCATGGCACTGGCCTGCTTTCTCCTGAGGAGAAAAGCATATCTTATCATTTACTCCAGGATGGGTGCTGTACTCGACTCTGTTCAGCTTCCTGAGCCTTTCTACTACCACCCCCTTGGTGATGAGGATCTCCAAGTCTGAGCCACTGGTCAGCAAGTGCTCGGTGAACTCTACACCAGTCCGCATGTCTGCCAGCAGCTGTTCCAGCTGAGCTTTCTGCAGCTGTAGGGAGTTTTCCTTCTGCACCTGTATGTTCTCCAACTGCTTCAGCAGCTTGTTCCGATGCTCCTCGATGGCCTTGATGTAACCCTCAGAGAAAGTTCGGACATCAGCCGCCACTGCCTCCACTCGCTCCTGGAGGGTACGATTCATCTCTTTGATTTGAGCCAGAGCTTCCTCCAGGGCCTCCACATGGGGCTGGGTGCCCCTGAGGAGCTCCCGCACAGAGTCCCCATGCTTGTGAATGACATTACTGGTGAAGTCATAGGGGTGCTCCCGGTGTTCCCCCACAATGCAGTCCCGGCACACTGGATGGTCACAGAGCTCACAGAACAGCCTCAGCTCCTCTGCAGGGTGAGCAGAACACAGGATGGGCTTTCCAACTTGGCTGTAGCCTTTCAGATCTTTCAGGTCCACAATGGTATGATAAGTTGTTTTTTTCTGCCGTCTAGGAACAAACAGAGGAAATTAGGGACTAACTCCAGGTGGGAGACAATTTGGCAGAGAGGTTTTAGGAAGATGGGCTCTGAAGTTCAATTTGAGTTCCATCCCTAGGAACCTCAAACTGGATGATCTTCTCTGGTTCTAGTTATTCATCTGTACACTGAGGCCAATACCTATCTAAAAGGGCTGTTGTACAGAACAAAATGGGATTACACTTGGGCTTGGCTTGGATTATGTCATTGGTAAAGGTTGTAGTGCTAAGAGTATATCTTGAAACTTCCCCCAAAGAGTTAATTTGGCAAGACCAGACCCATAGTTGGCTTCTTACAGCAAAGTAAAGGTAATAGCACAGTGGAAAACTAGCACCAAGAGACACAAACTGTGCCAGGTGGCATAGCAATTAAAAAGCAGCTAGCTGGCCCTGATTTTTTTTTTTAAAGTCTCATCTAGGTTTCATCTAAGCTTCCTTCTAAATGCATCTAAGCATTTCCTTTGACCAGTACCAACGTCACCCCCATTAGCAGGCTAGAATATCCCTCAAGAGTCATCAACACTATTCGAATGTGAAATCAATGATCAGTAGTATCAAAGCTCACTTTTAATTCCTCTTTTTCTATAGCCTTCTAGAGATTTAGGGAAATGCCTAGGAAACTGAAATGACTACTAAGAGTTTCCCATTAGCATTTATATCAACTTAGCACTTACATGCTAATTCTGAAACCACAAGACTGGTTGCAAAGAAAACAAGGTCAGCTGTTTAGCTGGTAACAAGATAGACATGTATACTATCACACATAATTACAAGTTAAAAATAGAATGAAGACTACTAACTTGTTCTGTTGGTGAGGTCAGAAAACAAATGGAAGTCTGGAATTTAAAATGATTTTGGGCTACTTTCAAAATGTTCATTTCATATTCAGATGCCATAGAGTAGGGAGGAGGAGAGTAAGAAGGAACAAAGAGGGATCCACTTGATAAGTCACCAAATGTAATAAAAGACATAAAGACATATAATAGTGTAATAAAAGACATCCCAGTTAACATCTACCAGCTCACTCTCCAGCTACAAACTCTGGGGTTTAAGGCAAAGGCTGAGGTGAGACCCAGCCAATCAGCATTTACACTGAGAAGGCATAAACATTTGTAAAAGAACACAGAATATAGTCAAATCTGGATTTAAGACTCAGTTCTGTTACATGCTTAGCAAGCAAGAAAAATCACAAAACATTCTGAGCTACAGTTTCTTCAATTAATAAATGGGAATGAAAATTGTGCCTGCCTTTCCATAGGAGTTGCACTGATCAAACAAGATCAAGAGCAGGACCTTTGCTACCATATTCATTCTCCTCTGTTTCAGCACCTAATACAATTATTCACCACAAAAAATGACTGATGATTGAAAGAAACTAAAAATGCTTTGAAAACTGAAGAGGACCACGCAAACCTTTATTTCTATTATTACTAAAGGTATTATGTTAGACTAATGGGAATAACCGCTGTTCTAAAGTATTTGTTACTGTATTGTATACTGTCTTTACTTTGGATTTGAGGTATTGGAGAAAGCCTTCCTTTCCATTTGCCCAAAGAATTTGTCTTGACACCTCTTTGTGTTCCATTCTTAAGCCACAACAGGTGGGGTATCCCATCTTTACCTATGAGCCTGGCAGCAAAAGTGGCAGAGATTGGCTTTGCAGGTCTGACACCTCTTCTCCACTTCCCTGTCGTTGCACAGGTCACACACCAGGCCCTGGCCTTCCCCACGCAGACTCTCCAGCATCACATCATTCATGGCCAGGTGGTCTATGGTTAAAGCCTTCACTCCACCCATGGGCAGGTCCACCTGAGCATCACATACCGGACACAGGATGCCGATCTGCCGCTGAAGACTCTGAGGCTTGCGTTCCCGGAATACTGACCCTTCGGAGCTTGTGTCAGAGTCTGCCCCTCGGATGTCCACTACTGAGAAGGGTTCCAGGTTCTCCAGACAAGCGGTGCAAACAGTGTGCAAACATGGCAAGAGCCTGGGGGCTTTGAAAAGCCCCATGCACAGAGGGCAGTGAGTCTTGCCTGAGTTCCCAAGTGCAGGACCACTGGGGAGTTTGTGCACGAAGCCCAGAAGCGGCTTCTTGTTTTCTGACATATTCTCCCACGTCTGTGCCCACTACCAGAAATGGCCTCGGACAGCGCTATAGTGCAGTTGCTGATTAACCTCAACCAAAGGCAAAGTTTCCAGAACTTGAGCAGAGACCATGAGGACTCTGTTGTTGGCAAATAAAAGCGCAAATGGGAAGTAGGGGATGCCTCCAAGGAACCATCCACAGATCTACTCAGTGTCTGTGGTAGGGACCCTTCCTTTCCATGGTATCCCATACCAGACACACCTACCCCTCCTCTGTCCCCCAAAGCCTCCTTCCCTGATGCGCTTCCTCAGCTAGTCTTCCCATCTCCGTGACCCCTGCATCTCACGCTCTCTATGGCTACTCCTCCCCGCACTGGTCTCGCCCTAGACACGCGACAAGCGCCACCCCCGCTCCTGCGCGATGAGGTAAGAGGTCTTCGAGCTCCTTCCCTCTCGGAGGGCGTACGGCGGGCGAGAGAGCGGCGAGGCCCCACCGGCTCCTCTGAGGCCACAACCTCCCCACTCTCGGCTCAGCCATCGCCCCTCCTCGCACCAATCCTAACCCGGATCGGCTCTTGAGAGTCCAATCACCGTCCAAGAGGGACGGTCCTTGCCGCTCAGGCCGCACCCCCCCTTGGGAGTGACACCACCATATCCAATAAGATTGGGAAGCTCCACAGCCTCTCAGGCTATTGGAGAAGAGGGCGAGGGACCAAAATAAGTGTCGGAGGCGGGGCGAGGAAAAGAGGAAGGCTGAAAGTAAGCGGCAGAGTATAGTCACCATTACCATGTTACGAGGACTGTCCCTCTATCTCTGGCGACCAGAGAAACTTCAGAACCAAAAATCCGCGCTGCTGTGCTGCGGAGAGGATCTCCATCCCGCCCCTGTATTGGCCCATGGTCTCAGACTGGCTCTCCCATTGGTGTTTTGCGCTGTCAGTCCGCTGCGCCGCTCCGTGCCCCGGAGCTTGCTGGGAGCTGTAGTCAGTGTTTTCCTGGGCCTGGAGACCTCGGCCAGACGGCGAAGGTTTTTCTCCTCAGCGTCTCTGAGAAGCTGCCGAGGATTCCCATCTTGGCCTCTGGCGCTTATTTCAGTCCCGGAATCCCTCAGGCCTAGCATGTCGGTTACCTTAACTCCCGTGACTCGCTACCTTCTGGCAATTTCCCTAGGGTAAGGGCACCTCAGGTCTGATTCTGGGGACCATGAAGTAGCCGAACTCTGGAATTGGGAACTGGACTTTTGATTGCTGGCGCGCAAGAAGTCTCTGTTTCATCCGTTCGGACGAGAGTGTACATGACCAAGGGAGTTAAATATTTGTCACCTGAAATTGTACCGTTATCACTGTCGGAAATTAATAGAGCAAGATTGGGCAGTGGTTAAGGTGTTTGTTTCGGTCCTAGGGATCGAACTCAGGGCCTCTTGGAGTGCTAAGCAAGCGTTTTAAGACTGAGTTAAACCCCCAGCCTGGGCCTCAGTTTTATCTGTCAATCAAGCGGGCCCCTGACTGGTCACAATGGGTGAGTGGAGGATGTCGGTGAGACGCAAGCCTTTAGGTTCACCAACTAATTAGGAAGATAGACATATCTGGCACCCTTAGCATTACAGTTTCCTTGTCTCTTTCTTGTACTGTACTGTCCTTACCAGAAGTCTTTGATTCCCTAATATGAGGCTTTGCAACGCCCAGTATTGGGGACCCTGATCTCCAAAATTCCAAACTGTAACACGCTACCTCCCTACCCTTCATCTGTTCTTATTTCCAGTCGCTTAAGCCTGTCTCATAAACCAGTCTGTCTCACTATTTTCTGTTTTATGACATTGCCTACTTGATTTGGACCCATAGACAGCTGTTTTATTGATGTCTTTATTATACTATAGAATTCATACTGTGGGGATAGTCCCTGAAGCATAACCTTTTAAAGATATGGAATGGGAGGGCTCCAAAATATGAAAAAACAAAAAGCTACAAAATAAAGCAGGTGAAATGTCTGGGTATTTCTGAAGCATTATATGTTAGTCTGGGAAGTGGTAGAGCAGTCGCCTTGCACGTGTGAAGCTCTGGGCTCAGCCCCGGCACAGCAAAAAAGGGGGGTGGGTGGAGAAAGATCTCATCTGATTTGTCTTCTTTGTGGGGGACCTGATCTAGTTCTAGTTGCAGCATAAGTAAAATATAGCACATCCATGAGTCAAAGACACGTTTATATAAAAATAAATTACATGTAATTTCTACATGCAATTTTCTAAATGTTCTTACAAAGGTCTTAAAATAGTCCTTACCTAGATTTCTTCAGCATGTTTTCCTTCAGGTTTACCCTGACTTTAAATCTGCTTTCTCTATTCCACCATGCTGGAGTAACTCACAAAAAAACTATATGGACTTGGGTTTGCTATATATTCTTGCTCTGAACGTCACCTCTACCTTCCCTGCTGCATAGTTATGCTTTGCTTCATCTCTTATTCATGCTGTATTACATTTCCTAAGGCAAGTGTGTCGGACTTCTCTTGTTTAAGAAGTGCTTTATAATTAATGTGTGCCTTATCTCATTTAATCTTCTAACAACTTTCATGAATCTCAAAGAGATTTGGTGGCCAGCTCAAAGTAATGTATCTGGACTTAAACACAGTCATATGATACCATGTCTAAGACTCTACCCCTGCGACTTCATCATTTTTCTGTCTTGAATTCTTAAGTATTAAATCTTTCACACAACTCCTAACTATCTAATTGAGTGAGAAGATGGGGCTATTGAAAGAATTCCTTCACCTTTTCGGCCTAAAAATCTATGATTCTTCACACTTCTTCTCTCATACCTCTTCTGATTGATGTTCTTCTATTCCAAATTTAGCCCCTCACGATCTTTGTTCTTTATCTGCTTCCATAAAACCTTGCTTCACCTATGTTTTCATCTGTCATTTATTAATGTGTTCTTTCTGCCAAGAATTATCATCAAATCCTGAAGGGAGAAACAAATCTTCCCTTAACCCAGCTCCCCTTTAACTTAATTAACTTTTGCAACTCTAAGCACTACATTTCTCAAAAGTAATTTCATTCTCTGCTTTTATCACCACCTTCTGAATATCATCATCACCACCCATTTATCCCTCTTCTCTTTTCCTGTTGAAATTTTTCTCTTGTGAGTCGCAAGTGACCATATTGCTGGCCTAGTCTCAATATATACTCTCTTTAGTATTTACCATTGTTATGTACTTCATCATCCTTAAAACTTGCTTTTCCTTTTTTCTTCTGTAATACTCTGCAGTCCTGGTCTTATAATCTTTCACACATTCTCCTCCATTGTATCCTCTACCCCACCCATACTTCCTCTTATGCAGTTGATTCTCAAATTCACACTTCCAATACTGACCTGTCTTCCAATTTTGTTTCACAAACATCTATTATAAATCTGCTCCCAAATATATCCCCATCAACTTAACCCCCAAAATGTATTAAACTTCTTTGCTTATTAAACTATGCTCTCTGAATTTTCCTAATCTGTTGTCTCCAGAGTATCATCATTCTCTCTTCCCTCCGGCTTGAAACCTTATAGTACTCCTGGCCTCATTTCTCTTTTCCTGTATCTAGGGATGTACCAGTTTCTTTCTATTCTTATTGCCAACACCTTACTGCATTTTTTTTTTTTGTTACCAGGGATCGAACTCTGGACCTTGCGCTTGCAAGGCAGGCACTGGAACCACTGAGCTAAATCCCCAGCCCTTACTGCATATTTTTAAGATAATACAGGTCTTTACCACCCTCACCTCAAATATCACAATAGTGTCTGAATTCTCCTTGGCCTCTGTTTTTTAATTGCTGTAATTCAACTTTCCAAATTAATTGTAAAAACATGCTAAAAAAAAAAAGTACAAGCCAGTCCTCATTCTAAAATCTTCAGCAGTTCCTCATCTCTGTGGGATATCTGGATTCCTTTATAGATTCATGAAGCCAACTTTTTAGGCACTCCCTAAATATTATCAAGCACATTTCTTGTTCTTTGACAATTTTTCTACAACATTCTTTATTATTTTAATGTACTCATCCTTATATGTCAGGCCTCCCTTTTACTATCTCCTTGAAACTTTCTCTGCATGATTTTTTAGGTCCCCAGATTTGAACTTGAATAGCTCTTTTGCCTATGTTATTCACCTTGCTGTTTGTGCTACCTTGTAGTACTGTTGTGTGTGTATGTGCCTATGTATATATTTACATGTATAACAAGTGCACATATATTATATATAAACATATATATAATTCATGGATATTCATGGATATACATATGTATTATCTTTCTCTCTGTTAAGATCAATAACTTGGAAATCAACCTAGTGCCTTCACCAGAGGCATTTGATAAGGACTTGATATTGATGAGGCAGGAAATGGTGTTCTCAAACAATGACAGAACTCACAGGATTACATTCAACCAAGAGTTTGGTGGATAGTACAGACCATAAATTATACAGGTTGTGATCAAGGGATGAAAGAAGATTAGTTAAGGATGCTCTATTCTTAGAATTATTAGTTCAGTGTCTTGCTCCTTGCTCACACATTGCTTCATCTGTCTGGGGACCCCAGATACCAAATAGTTACAGGGAAGTGTCACAGCCAGGGGGTTAGTGGTTCATAGCCATGCTTAAGTCTGTCCTTTGACCCTGTGCCCATCTCTAACTCCCAGTTTCCTTCTTCCTCCTTTTAGTCAAAACGCTTGAAAAGAACAGCCTACACTTGGTTCTCTAATTCTTTTCTTTGCATTTTACTCCTTAACATAGTACAGTCTGTCATTTGCCATCACTATTGCTCTGAAATTGCTTTTCCCAAAGTCACTGTAGCTTCCTATTTGGTAATTTCAATGGCTACTTTTTAGTTCTTACCAACCTGGATTTGCTATAGCTTTTGACACAGTTTTCTTCTTGAAACCTTCTCCTTTCTTGATTGCCATGCCCTATTCCTGATTTTCCTTCCACTTTCTATCCCTCTTACCACTCCTTTTTTGCCCTGCAATATACTACTTCCACTTGATTTTCTTTGTGTTTTTGTTTTTCCAGTACTGAGGATCAAACCCTGCACTTCACACATACTAGACAGGTGCTATTAAGCTATATCTCCAGCCCTCCCCTAAACTTTTAAGTGTGCTGTTTGCCAGGGTCCTTAAACCCTGTTTTTCTTTTAATCTCTTCATCTTCCCTTGTTGGTGTGGGGTTTGGAGATGATTTATATTAAAGCACCAGTCTCCTGTTATGTGGGAGTTCATTTTACTATTAACATTATTATCTTCATTGTATCTCTGAATTCATGCCCTCCATTCCATTTGTACTACCTGCTTTGGTTCAACCTTTTATATTTTGTCTAGTTGGTATCCCTATTTCTAATCCATTTTTTATAATTCTTTTAGTGATCTTTGTAAAATTTCAATTTGACATGCTCCTTGGTAGCTCTTCATTACCTTTATTTACTCATCAAATATCTTTGGAGCACTACAGTAGCAGTTTCCAAGAAGGTAAGGACTTTTGACTCTGTGACAGGCACTAAAGATACTTCATTATTAGAATAAACAAAAAGCCCTGTTCTCATGGAATTTACCTTTATACCAATATACCAATTAAACATTATACAATTTACCAATATACAATTAACATTATAACTATACTATATAGTAGTTAT